AAAAAATATATCAACCTTGTCCCTGCTTCCTATCGCATTGTGTAATCAGACGAAGAAATGCACCAGTTCTGCGGGTATTTTTACTCTACAGTTGTATAGGTTTTTGGGTGGGGGGAGGGGGGCAATCACCCTTGAACACTTATACCTAGGTACTTACCTTTGCTTTATCTTTACCACAGTATATGCTGTGTAGCGAAGGGTTGAAAGAAATGGCCCATGACGACCCCCCCCCCCCCCCCCNACTAAAAAAGGTATCTAGAAAGCACAATAATCGATTAGAATCCACGCAAAATAATTTTACGCACACTTAAAAAAAAAATCTCGGTGTATTTACTAAGAAAAAAGTAAAATTACCAAGAATTCAGGGTTCTATTTGATCCCTGTTTTTTCTTGGTAAAATTACCATTTATGGAACTGGTAATTTTACCGAGAAATCTCAATAAAATTTTTGAACTTTCTCGGTAATTTTACCGGATCTTGGTAAAAACGCCAATATTTTTTATCGACTGTGGTAGAATTACCGAGATAAAATGGCAAAGTTACCGGGAATTGATTACCGATAGAAGTGGTGTTCTTACCTGAAAAAAACAGTAAAAATACCTGTTTTTAGGTAAGCTTACCAGTCTGTCTTGGTAAAATTACCAATAATTGGTAAAAAAGTGAGATGGTGAAGGTACCAACGGACCTTGGTAAAAACGCCGAGAATTTTTTTCAGTGCATTTTTAAACTGCGACAGAAGATCCGCCATCTTGCTTCTTGCATTTACCTGTACTGTACATGTTCACAAGAGACGACAGACGTTCTTCTGTCGCAGTCTAGAACTGCGTAAACTTATTTGGCGAGGACTCTATGAAAACCGAAAAGTTCATCCGCGCCCACTAAGGATCTCTCTATTTCCAGAACTTGGTCCGTAAAATTTGTCCGTCTTCCTCTCGGTTGTGTTGAAAGAACAAGGTCTCCCATTAGATGAATATCAACTCGACCTAATCAAATTTTAATGGTAATCGCAAATTGGTCTCACGATCACGAGTATTCAGGATAGGGACGTTTGTACTTGAAACGAGTGATATTAGCAAAAGCCGAGCTCCAGCGTCCAGCCATTAGCATTTATAATTTTATCCGACGTTCGTGGAGTTGCAGACTCACCTTCAACCGCTGCTAGTCCAAAAACCGGATTTTTTTTCAGTTTTGGATTCTAACTCACCCTGCTGCAATTATTTATAACAATGGACCCCAAGATAGGACAATAATTGGATCGCATTTAGCAAAAAGGAACCAGCGCGATTGCAGTGTTGTTAAAATGTCGCTCCTTCATATTTATCTGAAAAATGTCCCAGAATAGCGAATACATTTTGCTTCCCACCGTAAACGTGTTAATTTTAAACAAAAATAATCGTGTAAATTTTAATACTGTATCTGTATGAAGTATTTATGAGAGAAAAGAAGAACTTGCACGATTTTGGGAACACTGTAATCGCGCTGGCTCCTTTTTGCTAAATGCAACACTGGAAAAGAAACACATTGGATCTAGAGTCCAGACTCTTGAAAACATCGACAAGAAAAAGGACTCTTGATTCAATCAGATTCAAGCTTAAAGCAAAAGGAAATCCGCTCAAAGAAAGAGGCTTGGTTCTTGAACTAAACTTAAATCTGATTGAATCAAGAGCATTTTTTCTTGTCGATGTTTTTAAGAGTCTGGACTCTAGATCCAATGTGTTTTTTTTTCCAGTGAATCCAATTGGACTGCATTTTGCAATTTGGACCTATAAATTCTGGCTCGTCTAAGAAAACACTTATGTGCATAGGAAAACTAATGACACATACGTTGTTTTTAAACCGGGCTAGAATTTATAGGTCCAAATTGCAAAATGCAGTCCAATTAGGCCTCTTAAGCACATGGACGGTGTAAGTCCGCAACCACGTATCTCGGTTTGCAACGTTGCAGACTTCCTGCCATACTTTATTTTTTAATTGAAAAACTAATCAACAGTAATTCTTAAAAACCGCCTTGATTTTTCTGCCCTGTGCGAAGAAAATTTTACGAAAACTTATCGGAATAATGTCGATTTGTTCTCCTGTTAAGAATGAAAATGGGAGTGGAGATTTTCCAACACCGCAAACTAGATACATGGTTGCGGACCTACACCGTCGACATGTCTTCTTATCAAGATGTCATGCAGAACCGGTTGAATATAGGCATCAAAATCTTTCAAAATTGATGCATAGTAAGACTGTAAAACGATGATGAAACAGCAGTAATGCGTCTCTCGGTTTTGCGGCGTTGGAGACCTCCTGGCATGCCTACTTTATTTTCTACATTGAACACAGGGTGTCTAGCATCATGATTTTCCCGGCTCTATCAGGATTTGAGGTCAATCAGGATTTAATCCCGATGTCATCAGGATTTGAGGGAAAATCGGTCGTAAAATCAGGATTTGAGAAAAGTCGGCCGTCCGATCGGATTGTTTTTTCGAGCTTTTTTTGTGAAGTTACATTCGCCTTGCGTGAAGTCAGGATTTGAAAAAATTATGAAATCAGGATTTAGCAGTCAAAAATCAGGATTCCCCAAAATGATAAAAAAAGACACCCTGGAAAACTACTGAACGTCATTTTTAAAAAAATTTTAGTGATTTTTCTTCTCTTTATGAAGAATATTGTGTGAAAACTTCAAACCATGCTGTAAGTTCGGTCTATCTTTAAGAAATACAATAGTCGAGGAGATTTTGAAACACTGCAACCCGAGATACGTATTTCTGCAGTTTCACCGTCGATAACGTTTGTAGCTTATCCAGTGGCGTGGCGTGAATTACGATGTATCGATTGTTCTGCCATTTAAACCTATGATAAAGAATCCATAGGTTCCATAGGTTTCCATAGGTTTAAATGGCATAACAATCGATATATCGCAAAGCACGCCACGCCACTGAGGTTACCTAATGAACAGTAGATTCAAACTTTCCATTCGCGAAAAACCCACCATCAACATGGAGAAAATAGAATCATCGCATAGTGTTCTTAGCAGATCCCTGGTGTAACTTGCCTTTTTAGTAGTAGTTACCATGTTACGTATTAGGTATTACTTAACTACCTTCACGGAAATCATTATTTCAGTCTCGATAACGAATGCAGCACCGATAAATATTTTTAATACAGAAGTTACCTTGTAACTACGACCAGAGGAGTAGGTGGGGCCTAGAATCCACTAACAATAAGGTTGAGCATTATACTGCCGTGCAACGCAAAAACGCCGTTTACGCCATTTTACATAGTTTGGAAATTATGTATCAAAGCAGAAAAACTTGTGTATCTTGCATGACCGGATTTACCTACTTGCCGCCCTTGGGCCGCCTGTATTTTGCCGCCCTCGTCTCATTCATTTTGAAACATCAATAAAAACCATCAAGTGAAAGTGCCGGAGGGAGAAGGGTGCATAAGACGCGTTCACTCGTGTTGGACACATTATTTGCGTAAGCCCTGTCAACACTACTAGCAAAAGTTCACGGAACTTCGCGCGAAAGTTCAGTTCCGTAAACCTATCTCTGTGTGGACAAGGCCTTTCATTTGTAAGAAATGAACTAATAAATTAAGAAAGAACAAAAATAAATGTGGTTTAATAATTTTAACTTCCGCCGCCGCGCCGTGCCGCGCTGACTGCACTGTGTTTGGCGCAATGCGTGAAGTATTCATGTAGTCTTGCAGGCACTGTGCGTTTCACGCCGCGCCGACCGCTGTTGACCGTACTGTGCTTGACGCAATGCGTGAAGTATTCATGCAGTCTCGTAGGCGCTAATATGTGTTACATGCCGACCGCCGCGCCGAGGGCTTCTTCTTTTCATCTCAAATCCTCGTCATCATTTCTCTCTGCGCCGCGCCGCTCCAGGCCAAATTACGTGTTTGGTTTCTCTCTTAACTCAACTAATTAAAGGTGCGCAGTCTTTTGTATCACCGAAATACGACAAAATTAGAAATTAATGGACTCTCAGGAAATGAGAGATTTTGTCACCTTTTCATGTTTGTAATTTTATTCTGAAACCGATTTTTTGTACCTGCGTTTAAAAAATTGCAAAATTTGCCGCCCCCCAATTTTGCCGCCATGAACCGCGGCTCATGTAGCCGACCCCTTAATCCGGCCATGGTACCTGAGCAAAGTTTTTATAGAATTCTTTCGCAAAGACTATCAAGAACTTAACCTAAAAATTTGATGTGCATGGGTAAAACAGTATTTATTTTATTAAGTGCTCAGTTCCAAAAAAACGAGGGAAAATCTTGATGGATTTACGGCGTTCTTGCTTAGCACGGCAGTATAAGAACAACGATTCCCCTTCCTCGTGGCTTTTTTCAATGGGAGATTTGACCTACGTTGAGGCAGGTCAACTTAGCCACTGGTAACAACCTTCGTCTCGCAAATAGCTGGAGCTTGGTTGCAATACATTCTCTTTTTCCTTGGATATGAAGGCACCTCTAATCTAGTCGGAAAAAATGTGACAGGCACGCAGGAAAATTATTTCATCGTGAAATAAGTAAACCGAAATTACTCGGTTTAGTGCTTGCTTTGACTCGAGTAAACTTCGGGTTTTTTGTGAGTCGGTAGCACGTACGTGAATTGACGTACACAAAAAACACTATCTTTCTCACTTTTAAGTTGAATTTTGAAAGTTTCCAGGTATGTTTCATATTTTTCGTAAAATGTTGATAAGTATCAGGCGTTGGGCACAGAAAAGGCATTAGGTATTCTTGGTTCAGGTGTCTCAGATCTCCACTGCTAATTTATATTATAAGAAGGAAACCAATTTCTGAAAAGCGCTTTTACCATTGTAATAGTTCAACTTTTCACTCCGTCATAATTATTGATGAAACGTCAGCAGACATGCTGAGACACCGCAACCAAGAAATGCCCTTTTGATAAAAAATGATTTTGAAATGGTCTCATTTTTCATACCCATACACAGTAAATCTATTCCATTTTTCTTTTATTTTAATTCGTTCTTCGTGTGTTACAGGTGTCAGTATCCTCAGGAAGTTTGTAGAGACGCATTCACCTCAAGATGTCTTTAGACGAAGTAAGTATATGATCTTTGTGTAATAATGTGCCCTTTTCGACGTCTCAGGTACTTTTTTGCCTGTGAAGTTGTATTTTGGATCATCAATAATCGGGCGAAAATTTCAAATAGGGGACATTTCAGGGTGAAGAAAATCGAAAAATCAAATTCATTATTTCCCCTTGAAGTTGTGTTCTCTCAATTCTCGACGATCTCTGGGATCTAAAACGCACGTGCTCCCGATCCCGATTTTTTCAATCTTTTTTTTACAGTTTTCCCTGATTTTTCAGGAATATGTGACGTCGGTCGTGAGTTTGGCACTATTCAAAGGGTAAACGTTTTTCTAAAACCATGAATATTCGGCAGTTTTTTTATGTCGCTTTTCAGAAAAAAGTGTTTTCTTCATATTCAGGCCAGAAAAATAGGAGTAAACCAGAAAACGAGGGACAAGAATGTCCCCTTATTCAACTTTTCGCCCAATCATAGCAGTTTGCTAAAATAGTTCCTCAAGCCTGCAAGCCTAGGAAACTGTTTCGGCTCTCCGCTAAATGACTCGTAAAACTGGGGACGTTGAAATGTGGATGGAAGATTTAGATTTCAAGTCTTAGCAAAGTATAGAACGCAAATCAACGTGCGAAGATGACGACCATTTCGACGCGGAGGATCAGCTTTTGCCTAACTGTTCAAATGAAGGCTAATCAAGCCTTGTTCACTTGCAACTCCGGCATTACGTGTTGGTTCGTTCGCCTTAATTTCGACCTTCAGGCAACAATTCTTACGCTGCGTGTAAACTGTACCATATCGACGACGGAGAACTGTAAGGATACGGATTTCTGCTCCGTTAGTTTTTTTCCGAAATCTTATCTTACATTTTTCCACGAATTTTTCGGGGAATATCCTAGGGGAGCTGGGAGCCGCTTAACACGTTGTGATGGCTTTAGCATCGGGCGTTCCACTGATTTTCTTTAAGTCTTTGAATGAGTTTCAAAAACCAAGCAAAATCCGCCTAACTACACCCTAAAATTGCGTAATAACTTCTCCTGTCTTATTTTTTTTAACAGAAAACGTAGCAAGATTCTAACTGGAAATTTTGTAAGCATATTTCCTTCAAGTCCAGGAGAAAATTCACAGAATTTTTTTATGTATAGGTATTACTAGCCGTTCTGGACGCGCTTAGCGCGTCCGTCACGGCTAGCCTAGGGGCTGCGCCCCCTGGACCCCCGATCACTCGCTACGCGAGTGACATTCGGCTCACTCCGCGAGCCATTTTTCTCAGTGATTGGACATTTGCTCACTAAGATGTATACAATTTGGAGACTCTGGAGGCAAAAATGATTTCGTCACAGAATCTTGTTGCCGGAGCGTGTCATCATTTGCACATGAATAGATGTGTGGAGATGAAGCGATGATGGGGATCGATTATTTCTTCAAAAGCGCATTTGACTGGGACGTCATCCCTTCGGGTGGCGGAAAAAGACAATCTATGGATCTCCTTCCGCGATTTGACTTGCTGAAGTAGCTAAAGTTCATCTTTACCTTTTAAGAAGATTAGCGGTGGCGTAGGTGTCTAAAAACTGCTCAACGGTAGTATATTTCGAGTTCCGAATCGCAATGAGCCCACTCGTGTTTTTTTCTTCTTATACTTTCATCGCACATAAATTTCTCTGATGTTTTTGTTTTATTCTCTCTGATTGCATATTAGTAATCATATCCTCATTTTATTTCCTTTTCCTGTCCTTTTTCCCTTCCTGTATAGCATCTGTGTCCATTTACAATTATTATTTTAAAATAGCTTTCCCCTAGTATACAATTAATGCTTCAAACGGAATCAATTGTTTTAATGACATTTCCGGCTAAATCATGGGTTTTCCCAGGAAGGCAGCCTCTCGTCCCTCCCGGACTCTATTGTTGCCAGATAAGTTGCTTTTTTAGCACTTTTCCCAATTCAAATCCATGCAAAATATTCACATTTATCGCACAATCTGGCAACCTCTCGAGTGAAATAGAAAAAGGCAGAATCGCTGAAAGTCTGAATCCTTCGAAGTTTATATTAATGATGTTGTTCAGTTTTCTGTTCCAAAACACAACATCATGAGAAAATTACGCAACATGAAATGCAGTTAAGCCGATTTCAGGCGAATCCGTCCCGTAGCCGTAAGAGCTAGACTAATCATGAAAAAGTATTGAGTTGTCCTTGAGTTGTTATCGAGGATAGAGAAAATTGCACTTCAGTTGACCCATTGAGGTTATCTCCACTTTTTCAAGACTATGGGTCACCTATTTTTTTCCTGGCCTTTTCTATTGATAGCTTGACTTGTTATTAATAATTTAAATTTCCAAGCAATACTAATACAGAATCAGATTATTTCTTGAATTCGGAAAAAAAAAAACAATTTTATTACAATCTATGAATTGTACGAACAGCAAAGGGAGTTAGGGAGAAGGTATTTTTGCTGCTTTTTGACTTGAAAATAGGTTCTTCCGACAAATTAGAGATCCCTGTCTTTGGTTTAAAGTAGGTAATTTAGGAGGAACTTAAAAGAAAACTTGCTAAGTAGGTTTTTTACTCACACTACCTATGGTGGAAAAAATTTTTGAACATCATGGACTCCTCCAACTACGTTTCCGATATTTCGGGCTCCCAAATATTATTGCTCGAGTCATATCTGTAGGTGGCTCGACCAAGGTGTCTGCTGGTCCGAAAAGTCCGGAAATAGTGCTGATTTTTTGAGGGCGGTCCGGAAGTTCTGAAAATGTATGGGAATTCCCCACGAGGGTCCGAAAGTTTTTGCCTCATGCCACGAGTGTTTTTAAGACAGCCTGGAAAATATGCAATCAGTTGCGCAATGATTCTTCGTTATTTTCCCGCTGTATCAAAATTTTAAAGCCAGTTGATCCTCAGGCTACCAATGAGCGTCGAATTTTCTGGCTTCGTCTTTTATCTCGAGATTTGCGCGTGAATTTTGACAATTTTCGAATTTTGTCAGTTAAACGCAGCACCAAAAAAGTACTGCATTTTCCGCTTAAGAGGTGTTGAAATGCTTGGAAAGGGACTGTAAAATTACTTTATATTTGCCAGCCACTTTCAGTAGAGACCCTATTTATGCGACACAAGAATCCCAATATGGGTAGTTGGCAGTTTCGAAAACGCCTTCAATTGTGGCGTGATACCTCACGCATTCCGAAGAGTACGAATAGTTGTATCATTGCGCCTTAGCAATGCGATTGAAGATTTACAATATTGAGGTAGCCTCCACGTTGGCCGTGTCGGTTATTCCTTTGCCGCTATTGCGGTTTTGACCGCATAGTTTAAGTATGCTCAAGCTAAGATGGTATTTATCAAATGGATAATTCTCATAGAAGAATTAAAAATAAACAAGCGCTAAGAAATATAATTAACTAATTAGGAACTCAAATCAACTATCAACTTGAAGGCACCGAGAAAGTACTGAATTTATTCTACTCATGAGGTAATGAATTTTTTAGAAAGACAATAAAAAAAGTACTGAAAAGGTAACTAATTTTTACCAGCCAGTTTTTGTAGATACCCGGCTCGACTAACAGGTGGCTCTTGAACAGTACTAATGCTAAAGAAAATATCCACCTGCAGGAGGTGCTTGTTCTTGCTATCCTTAGTACCAAGAACACAAGATGACATTTATGCCGTCCTACGTTTCCAATATTTTGAGCCCCCAATCACTATCGCTCGAATCATTCGGAGTGTAATCATCTGGAGTACTAATGCCTTTTTGCATTGTTGGGGACTTAAAACAGCATGTGCAAGCAGGTCCCGCATGCTGTTTCAGGTCCGCGACAATGCAAAAAGGCATTTATACTGTCCTACGTAACCAGTAACAGTACCAATGCTCGAACCATACACAGATGGTTAGGATGGCTTATGGCTCGAACATCCTACGACTCTCACAGGAAATATTTAGCAACGCAAGGTGGCATTTATGCTGTATGGGATCTCATGGAAACTTTTTTCTGCTCTATTATCAAAAAAGAAAATCACTCAGGCACAAATGAGATACTTACGTCATGGGAAAGTCCTAAAAAAGAAGGGATGACTGTTTTGTATGAGACCTTGTCCCCTTCAACCATGAACAATTTTTTTTATTTCAATTAGATCTCCCTGTAAATTTCAAGTCATTTCACTTGAATGTTTCTGTTTACTATTTCTTGTTGTCTAATACTCACTTATTTTTCTAGCAATTTAACAAAGCCGTCGAAGATGTCAAGAACTTGGTCAAAACCCCTGCAGATGATGAACTTCTTGAAATTTATGCTTTGTATAAGCAAGGAACAGTAGGAGATGTTAATACAGGTATTTATCATATCACTGTAATGATATCCTTATTCAGTATGAATGTCTGACTTTGACTGAATGAACCGTTAGTCAGGGTAAGAAATAAATTACTAAAAACTATGTTTTCTCATCAAAATTTCATGGAGAACTTGTTGAACACACGGGAAACTTTTTTAACATTGATTAAATTTTTCCACTTGCAGGAAAAAACCTAACGTAATGTTGCTCATGAGAGTAAGAGGAGATTTGAAACAGTCTAATTTGTTCAAGAATTTTACCTCTGTTGTTATAATCTTAACTTGGAAATATGTTGAGGAAAAATTAGTGTGCTGAGAAAATTGTTCAAGTTTAAAATGTACTGAAATAGTTCGTTTACTAATTTACCTTTTTATAATGTCTTCATTCTTCAGCGTTTTAGTATTGATCAGATGCTGAAAAAGTTGACAATTTTATCAGGTAGGGCACCCTGGTACAGAAAAATTTACCACAAGTCCAAGCTGTGCCTGATTTGACTCAGGTAGACTTAGGTTCTTTTGAGAGTGGGGAGGTTTGAATTGACTAACACCAACAACGCCATTTTCTTACTCATGAGTTTCATTTGGTAATGTTAAATGTGTTCAACATATTCTATGACACACTTTGATGAGGATACATTTGACGTGGTATGGGATCAAAAGGAACAAAAACAAAATTAAAACTGTAAACCAACAGAAAAAGTGAGGTAGCAAACTGTGAGCTGGATGATCAAGTAAAAAAGAAAAACAGACAATAAAGGAACTCAATATATAAGTTTTTTGATTCTCTGATTCTCTTTTCTTTCTATTTTACTGTGGTGTCTCTTCCCTTACTCTGTCTAGAGATCCATTCTCATAACGCTGAAGTTTTAGGATCTTAACATTGGTCCATTCTTATAATGTTGAAGTTTCAGAATTTTAATTCAAGGTAACATATGTACAGCAAAAAATAATCTAAATGGGCTGGTCAGAGCACTAACAGGTTGATATTTTTGGTTACTTTTTTGGTTGCAGTCTGTTCCTGCAAATACACTTTCCTTAAAGTGTTTGCAACTTCAAATTAATTTTAGTAATAATTAGCCCCTAGGGACCCTTCCTCTTTTTATTGCCAGTAACAACTTGCATATCAAAGATGTTGGTTCATGGCATCTGTGATATTCTCTCAAGATTTTCTTTTTTGGCTCTGAGGTATATTTTTCACAAAATCCTGGATCTCATTCATATGAATGCTCTCTTTTTATGGTAGTTCCTTCTGGAGACATCATATTATATATTTGTGTCTGGATCTATGAAAAAGAACCTTTTCTTACAGGAGAAAATTTTCCCTCACTTCTCGAAATGCATGGAGTAATAAAATCTAAGAATTTTGGAGTGAGTTTGACCCTGAAAGTTCGAAAAAATGTGATTTAAGTTTTTGCAAAAAGTTAAGGAACATTCTCCTGTAAGACGAGGTCCTTTTTTATAAATTCGGTCACATGTACTTGTACTTAATTCTATAACTTTAAGCCTGGAATTTATTGTTTACTTGTACTTTTTCAGATCGACCAGGTATGTTTGATTTAAAAGGAAAAGCCAAGTGGGATGCATGGAATGGCAAGAAAGGGACATCCTCTGAGGCGGCAAAACAGTCATATGTTGCCACTGTACAAAAATTGATAGAAAAATATGGATTGAAATAAAGGACCATTTCCTTGATGTATTATATAAGTGGGTCAATTTTCCTTTCGTTACGATTTACTTTAAAAATTTGAGATTTATTCTTCATTACAGAAGTGTTTTTCTGTTTTCAAGTGCCTGGGACTGTTACTTTAGAGGTGGCAACTGTAATCCTTTTTAATCTCGGAAAACACTTTTTTCTGGTGTAAGTGCTGTGTTATGATAATGCTTTTTCTATGTAACTTCCCTGATGACTGACCTTGATGCTATTTATGTTTTATGAAGTACGGTCTTCATGATAAATTTCTTCCTATTGACCGAATTATGTTTCCTTTTTTTCCCTCTTATTTTTGCTTTTTCTTTTTTCTTAGAACAAAAGACAGCTTTAGTTTTCACTTCCACAAGGCATTCTTTTAAAAAAGAATTTATTTAACCTGTATTAAAAATAATTTTTCACTTAGTGGAATATTTAAGTGGATAATACTAATGATGCTTAAGTGGATCTTTAATTAAGACAAAAATGCGAAGAGAAATATTATTATTTAGCCAAAATGTTTGTTTTTTCTTCTTTGAGAAGATTACAAATAACTTTCAACTTTCTTTTCTCGTTATATAATGTGATCTTGTCTGTTTCATTGCTGTATCCTTTCTTTTATTTTTCGTTGTACGTTTTATTTTTTACAAAGCAATATATGCGAATCAATAAAAACAAAACATATTAAAACATTTTATTTATTTGTCAGTTCTTTTAACCTACTTTGTAAAAATCATCAAAGGCCAGTGAATCAAAATGCACTTGTCAGCAATCACAAATAACGTATACAAAGCCGTTTTTAAATTGTAGCAAGCCATAAATTGAATTGACGTATGCAAAAACGTCCATTGTCCAATACAGGGTTTCATAATTGCGGTGGGTTTCTTTTGTTCAACGACACTGATGAATAGAATTGATCTCTTTTGTAAATATTTGATTACACTAACGAGATTATTTATAAAATTGCTCTACATTCCTAACGTCTTAAACCATCTTGTGTCAATAAGTTACAACGAAATTGTCCACTCAAATTCTGAAACACTGTCTTAGACATTGGACGTTTTCGCATACGTCGATTCAATTAGACTTGCTTTTTGCTTCTCAGGCCAGAGATGATTTTTAAATGAATGTAAAAATGAATTCCTTGCTGAAAGGAATGATATGAAAGAATAACTGGGGACTCAGTGGCTGCGGCAATGCTGTGGTACGAAAAACAAAGAATAATTAAGACCAGAATGTATTCATTGCAACAACTTTACAGAATAAGAAGTACAGCAGAGCAAAGTAAAAAATTAACAAACAAGAAGCATAGCTAATTCATGAGGTATTACACTAACTAACTGAACCATTCAGAATCATTGAGATGAAAAACAACTTACTTTTAAACGCTGTATACAACTAAAAATAGCTGAAACAATGTAAAAAATAAACATGGAAAAATTATGTTAATGAAATTACTTCATTGGGTGAGCAATTTTCATCAAGAAATCTTAAATGCCTTAAAGAAAGCATTATGAAAATGGGGAATAAATGCTCATGAGAGTTTTGGTTACTTACTTATTGATAGAAAAAATTATTATGGAAACCGATTTATCAGGTAGTATTTAATTCCAATTCTTTTAATCTTTGTGAAAAGCAGCAATAAATTGAGGAGAAAATTATTTTATAAACTCTTGCCCCAACTTTCATGTTGGGGTTGAAATGGAATTTTTTTAAGCAAAACTGAACGTTCACCGGAGACAAAACAATCTTTGGAAACCGTGATGTATCAAAAATGCAGTTCTGAGGCCGGTCCCATAAAGAAAATGTATAAATATAGTGAGATCTAAGTATGTATAACTGAAGTAAAATTACAACGATAAGTGATGCAATCAATTAAACTAAAATAAGATGAACCTGGATATTAGCAGCAGAGAAACTATTTGGCACCTTTAAACTTTGATAACATTCATCTTGAATGGAAAAATTAATACTTACCTTACAAATGGACCCTTTAAGCAAAAGACAGTTATCGGAATTCAGACTTTGATAAAAGAATTTGGGTATTTATTTTGATCATGTATTCTACATAACAATACAATTGAAAAACAAGCCCAAAATTGGTTCTTTTGTCATCCTGAGCAAATAAGTCTGCAGTGTAATTGAGTGTGAAGAAAAAATTTTAAAATTCTGAATTCATGAAAATGAAAAAAAAACCGACATTTGAAACTACTTTTTGGATTCTTGTTATTTACAGCTATAGGAAAAAAGTTTCCAAAGAGTTCTTAAAGACAATTCAGGCATTGTTTTTTGTGAGAAAGAAGAAAAACGAGTAGAGGCACAACACCATTCAAAGGCACTTACTCATTCATTTCTTCGGGTTGGCAGTGTTGATGTGACTCATCAGTACTCTCCCCAGGCTCGCTTCTAGGATCTTCTACCATGAGCATAGCAATCTTGAAAATTCTTTCAAGAAGTGCCAAAATTAAAATATACAGCCCTTGCACTGGCTAAAATAGTAGGTTTGTTATCATGTTCATGATAAATATATCTATATGTATTTGAAAAAAAAAAAACCTTTGTTTTCAAAATGTTGCAAATAACTTGTTGGTGCAATTAAAATAAACAAATAATGACTATGATATACTTAATCCTTTGAGGAGACTTATTATAATTCATTCTGTAAACAATATTATTTATTATAAATTAAATTACACACCTGCCGCCGCCAATAAACCACACTGAGGGACATATTTTCTCATGATCAAGAGAGAAAACAACTTCAGTTTTTTTTTACTTCGTTTTTTGAGATCTTACATTGTTAGAAAGAAGAGCTTGTGTGTCACCAAGAAGACACATTCTTAGATCTGAAACAGTATTGATCATGAACAACTTATGAAAAGTAGCCTAGGTAATAAGGGAGGAAACCTACAGATTACCTGCCTTTGAGCAGATATAACATTCTTTAAGCTTTTTAAACCCTTCTTGAAGACTTCTTTCTTCAGCTACAAAGAGGAGGAGGGCACATCTGCTCACGTCCTGGTGCATTGATGGACAAGACTGAGGTTTCCTGATTTTATTTTTTTCAAAAACAAAGAGTGCTTGAAGCCGAAAAGCAATATCCGTCTTGATTTTCATATTTACAGCTTTACTTCGGTAGAAATTTGGGTTGAAAATTTCTAACTGACAGCATCATGAAAAAATCGGATTTTTTAAGATGACCTTCCTCTGAGAGGCGTTTTTACAACTAGTACAGAGCATGCTTTCAGACATTACATGAAGAGGTAAACGCACACTTTAGAAAGATCTTCGCAAAAAATCCAAATCTTTTGAAAGTGGTTGATTAGAAAAAAAAGAGAAAAAAAAAAATGGAGTTGATAAAATTTTCAAACAGCTGAAATGAAGAATGACGTAACTTTCTCGCTCCAAGCACCCTGTCCCATGTGGGGAGAGAATCAGGTGATTAACCGGTGCACTTGGAGAGAAACATGCAGTGGTAGGAAATTGTCTCAGATGGAATTTTTTCACAGGCTGCTTGACCGATTTTCATAACTTGGAGATGTTGCTGAGAGTATTCATGCTACGAATGATTCTGCTTCAGTTTTGAAGACATAGAACAGGGAAGCTTACATTTTTAATGCCCCTCATAACAGGTTTTCCTTTGAAAATGTTTATGCTAAATGAAAATGATCGATTATTAGAATTTAAGATTAGCTGAGAAAAACTGGGACTAGGAAAAAAAGTTTGTTCAGAACTCGGACATATTTTCTTTAAAAGAAAAAAAAGGAGAGAATGAGTATGTAGTGAAATTACCTTTCCAAATTGATTCCAGGTCTCTTCTTGAGCTTGACAGTTTACTACGGATATGAATACTGGTGCTAGAATCAAACTAACTCTTGCCTTTTCTATATCTTTGCCTGGCTCGGCCTTTCGAGGAACGATGACTAGATGAGCGGTGCTCTGGTGAGTTTTCCTCACCATTCATATCATTATTATCTTGATCCTTAAATTCTAATTAAAACGGAACAAAAAAAAATTAAAAAACATTACTTACAGGACTATGAAAGCTTTGCAAAGAAAAATTGATAAAAAATAATTTACTCTCCGTTACAGCTCTTAATACTGCAGAATATGTCTTCACCTTACGGTCAAAGTATCGCAAGCACCATTTGTGTTAAGATACTATACTGCCATACATCTCTGTATTTTTTCAATTTTTTCTTTAAAACTTATCCACATACTTTCAGAAAAAATTAGGAATTCATCTCGATGAAAAGAGAAAGATAGTTAAAAAATTAAGAGGATGCTAAGAAGATTGCTGAAATTAGATGTTTCATAAGAAAGTGGACAAAAAGAAGGTTGGAAACATAGTGCCAAAACACAAATGGTGCTTGTGATACTTTAGCCTGAAGAGAACAATATACCGCTATTCAGACACCATGAAAAGTCTTGCTCTTTATGCTATAGAGCACCCTCGCTAATTCCTAACTCTCCCATTCAAAAAGGTTGATAACACTACGAAAAAGCTGGTCCCCAAGGAAAAATATTTTTATTTTGAAAGAAAAACAAGTGATATATAACCCCTTGGTAATTCAAAATTTTTGGACCCTGATTAGCAGGAGTCAGTGCAGTAATTTGAAAAAGTGACGCAACCGCAATGCTCTGTAATTCAAAATCTGGATCACCCACTCTGTATTTTGAACTGATAGAACTGGACCTTCTCAAGGAAATAATTAGAAAAGGTTTTGATACGTGTAAATTGGAGGGTGTGCGTTTCTAATGCTAATTAAAAATGGTTTTGATAAGTCTGTCCATTTTGATGAAATTGGGGAAATAGATTGTAGTTCTCCTGTTCACATTCACACTGGTCCACATCAAAGTTGAATTTTTGTGCCTCAGTCCACATATGCGGCAAGCAGAACAAGCTCTTGTGAGGAAACAAACATGTAGATATGGGTCTAAAAAAATGCATTTGAGGTAATTATAGTCCTCCTCACAAAGATTGTGCAGGCTATTTCATAATTTTAATCAAATGCTACCCAAATCATTTCCTGGCATAAGAACAGATTTTGAAGGTTTTGTAGAGTATTTAAAGTAGCAAGCAGAGGCAGATCCAGCAATTTGGCAACACCGGATTTCCTCCATTTAAACCTATGCTAAATAATCAATTCTTGTTGGAGCACCTGGCCTCCCAAGAATCGATACATTTCCATAGGTTTAAACGGAGAAAAGACAATGTTGCCAAATTGCTGGATCCGCCAATGGTTGCAAGCGACTTCTAAATTTAAAAAAAATGGTTTGGATTATCCTATTTTTAAAACATTCATTACAGCATGTCTTGAGAAATATTATCCATAAAACTGAGACTTTTTAGCTCTCCTGACACAAAATTTTTCATCTTTAGCCTTCGTTATGTCTTCATTTTACTAGTCCTGAAAACTTCAAAGCAAAAAATTTTGAGAAAGCCAAACGACTAAGACAAAACAAATTGTCATTTTTGAGAGAAGTAATGTTGTGGCAATAGAACGCAGTGACTAGGTTTAACATAGGAGGAACAAACCTTTGAGAAGATCAATTGGAGGGTCGAGTAAATGATCACGATTGCACTTCACATAGTAGCGATTCATCCATCCAACTCCATATCCAATTAGAGAGATTGCCATTGTGACAAGGGCCATCAGCAATGGATGCTACAAGAAAAAATACACGCAACTTTGCTGAGATGAACAAAATTTAGATAAATAAATTAGAGCTAGTATCACTCAGATTCAAGCCTGACTTGCCAAACCTATCAAATCTTTTCGCAAGAGACTCATGAAGTTTGCAGGTTAAAAAATATAAATAAACGTGTGCTTAAAAAATAAACATATTTAAAAGACAAATAATAGAGTGGGTAATTCCTTTAGAAAAAAAAATAATGAAAATAAAAAAAAGAAATGACCAATGATCGGGGGCCATTTGAGAACAAAATGATTTTATTTTTCAGAAACTGATGGATCTAGGATAGGGTGGTTCTTCTGGTACATGATCAAATCATTGTATGACGCATTAAATATTAATGTGATATACCAACATTGGCTATTGACGGACTTAGTGAAAACAGAAATGCAATTTCGAGAAGGCTTTTTGATGAACCAATGTTTCTGTGAGTCAATTTTTAGAAAGAGCCTGTTTTTCAGATCAAATTTGCTAAGGAACCTGGTTACTGGACCAACCTTCCAAAGTGCTTTGAAAAATGCCTTAACGTTTGAGCTCAAATTAACAAAAAGTAAGGTCTAATTCCAACATGATTTTATGAGAAAACCTAGTTGTCTGGCCTTGTGCGACACATAAAAAAATTTCACTTGGCGTGGTAAAAGTTGATTTGGTTCTAAGGAATTTGATCCAATTGTTGGTAAAATTTGGTGGAACAACATAAATGCTTTTGGTGACTCATGTTGGTTGGAGGGTAATTTTGTTCCATTTTAAGATTCTTAATACGAAGTTGATGAAAGTGTACTTGAACCAAGCATTGAATAAATTATCATCATGCTCTTCCAAAATTTATTTCTACATGCTTCCAGTATCAAATTCTGTCAGATGCCTTAAACTTCCTCCATTCGATTCAAAGTTGTACATGCCGATGGCTTAAGTCAAAAAACTCATAACTAAGATTGCAACATTGTAAGTCTCTGCTCATGTTGTATTCATTTAAAGGGAAAGTAACCACAGATTCTATTGGACTTTTTTCATGGTCATTCAAAATGGTCAGAGATGTTTAAAAGTTGCGATTGAGACTTGCACTTTTAGTATTAAGTTAACAGTGAACACAATTCTCTAATTAATTTAAGAAAACGAGGCAAAATGAATTCCTCCAAAGCTAGAATTTCTTATTTCAGATATTTGTTAGCCATCAGCATCAGTGTTACTCACAGTAACCGTTGGTTTCTTTGTTGCAATTTGATCTGATATCACAATAATAACTCCGATAATGATTCCAATGCCAGCTCCAAGCCATGGTATCTGCGAATCAGCTGGGGAAAAAACAAAAAAATTATTAAATAAAATTTTATGATACATCATGAATATCCACACATTCTTCTAATTTATGAGAGCCATCTAAAAAAAATGAGAATGTCAATCAGGCAAGGGACTTCAGTCCTCAGATCAGCAATCCAGAATATAGGAAAGAGTCCCATGAGCATTATCAGTTTGAATAATTCGCAGTTCGGATAATTCAAGGTTTAGGGTATATATCGACGGTGTAAGACTGCAATCACATAACTCGTTTGCGGTGTCTGAAAATCTCCGCCTCTATATTATTTTTTTAAAGAAGAACAAATTGACATCATTCCGTGAAGTTTTAATAGAATTTTCTTCGCACCGAGAAGAAAAATCACGGCAGTTTTAAAGAATTGCCGTTGAGTAGTTTTCCGTTTAAAAAATAAAGTATGGCAAAAAGTCTGCGACGTCGCAAACCAAGTTATGTGATTGCCGACTTACACTGTTGATATATATATTGGAAATATCAGGTGAGTTACATAATTGAAAGGAAGGAATCAGTGTTCAGTGAGGAACTAACTAACCTCTTTTGTCTTTCTGTTCAGCTTTGATTGTTCTTGATATTGCCTCCATGATTGTGAGATCAGCAGGCATTAGTCTTAATGCTAATCTATACGACAGTAGGGCATCTGTGTACAGGTGAGTTGCCAACTGAACTTCTCCTTTCCTGAAATAACCCTAATGCAAGAAAAGAAAACAGATATAAAAAAAAGGGTGCGTTTGATTAGGTCAAGCAAAGAATGTGCTTTAGGTAGATTAAAAACAGAATGTGAAGCTAATGGAACTATTCTAAAGAGCCTGTGGTAACGAGAAAATGTAGAGGATTATTTAAGGATATTAATTGCAAAATTTAGTACAATCACTATCATGGCCAATATCTGCACTTACGTAGTAAACTTAACGGACTAATTTCAACTCAGCAACAAATAATTTCAAAATTTTACAGACTTTTGAGAGCAGTTTAATTTCATTGATAGAACTCTAGCGTTTCTTCTGCTACCACTTCATTACACATGCATTGACAGGTGCATGTCTTACAGTGAAAATATCAGGAAATGTTTGTTAGACACAATGAAAATTCAGGTCCGTTTTTGAGTAATAAACATTAAATCATCAGGTGAAATTTTGCTCCATTCTAATGTGATGAAGCCCCAGCAGCCCAATTATTGAAACTATGTCAGCCCAACACGACAAGACATAGCCCTATCTTAACCATGCAATATATCGCAATTCGATGTCTTATCCGGCTGGTTTAAATTTCAATAATCGGCCCGCAGCAGCTCTTGCCCCATCTATTGAGGTACAACGATTAAAACCGCTTTCTTTCACACTTTTATTCACTTACTTTGGCCCAATCTGGCTTAAGCACAATCGTTTGTTCAGCGTCTTCCATTGCAGAATAGTATTGCTGCATCTTAAGAAAAGCCAAAGACCTGTTACTATAGAGTTGATAGTTGTTCGGGTCAATTTTGATGGCATGACTATAATGTAGTATGGCCTCTGCATATTTTTCCTCTTTGATGGAGGCGTTCCCCAACGTTTTCAGATTATTGGCCTCCTGCAATCAAAAAATAATTTGAAATTGAATTCGTACCTCAAAACCATATAGGTTACAAATTAAGACTAAAAAGTGAGGAAAAACGCTAAAAAAATCGAGTAGATAATGAGAAGCTGCTTATGAACGATGAAACTACCAGATTACGTGTTGCAGACCTCTTGTCATAATTCATTTTCTAAATGGAAAACTACTCAAAGTCATTTCTTGAAAACATTTGGAACTTTCTTCTTCTTGCGAAGAAAACTCTGTGAAAATATCAAAAAATGGTATTGATTTTTTCTTCTTCGAAAAATGAAATGAGTTAAACACTGCTTACTAGATATTGTAATGAATTCAATAGGTAGGTAGGTAGGTAGGTTGTAGGTTCACTAGTAGAGAATTCCTTGTAAACAGCATTTTTTGACAATAACTAAACTTATTGCAGGTTACGCTATGGAAAAAATTGACAGAAAAACTTTTAAATGCTCATAAGTAGTGCTCACCAGGCGGAAAGAAACATTACTTCAAATAATTCTGCAGATTAGTCGCTGTCAAAATTCTTGGTATTGCAAGCAAAGTCCTTCAAAGTTTTCAGCTGAGTAGCAATGATGTGAGCGAATAATCAGGATGGACAGTCTTTTGTAAGTCATAAACTCATGGTTTTTGAAAAATCTGAGAGTGACTGTTCAAAAACTTGAGATTTTCACGCTTCCGTATGCAGGTTTTCCTGGAAGCCCTAAATGCGCGAACCAGCGAGAGTAAGCAGCTGATTCTTGGTTACGCACAGGTAAATCAAATTATTCCAATGTTAAAAAATTAAGCACATAAAAACCACATGTACTTACCTCACTAGACATTGAAAATAACGGAAGGAAACTCGGAGAGGTGGACTAGGAATAGGTACTTCTATGAGAAAAATTCACGACAATTCAAGCATCACCGAATGCAATAGCACATTAAAAAACATCGAGTAGAGATTCAGTGCCAGTAAAAGAGTTTTCATGCTTTCTACTTTCCACAGGCAGCTGAAAGTCGGCTCGTTGGCCGACAAAAAAACTGAAAGATATGCTGATTCAACTGGATTTGCAAAAAGTAAATAAACACTTCTGACTGCAATAAAATGTTGCCAGATCTCAGCCGAGTTCTAAATAATGTACTTAAAATTTTTAGAAAAGCACTGAGAATGAACCCTTGGAAATTTTAAACTTGCTAAAATTTTGGGATATTTAAAAGAAAAAGACATTTCCCTTATCGGCAAAAAATAAGTATTTTACGCAAAAGGCTATCTCAAACAAAATTATTTTTCCCTGAAACAAGGCAACGTTTAGTGATAAAAGTTTTTCTAACCTCAAACTTGTATAGTTGTCAATAGAGCGAAAGTTTCAACGACAGCAAGTTGTAATGATAATTTTTTCAGTGTATTATGTTTTCATCCCATAATTGTGTTAGTTCACTGTGACAAGCTACCTATGATTGTTAATTTTTGTACAAGGAATGTAAACTTCCATCGCCCATGAGGGATTGACAAGAAAGTTCAACAGTTTATCTTGGAGATGTAAGTTGCACTCAATTCACACGAAGAATTTACATTCCAAATTTATCATTATCTTATTAGTCCAACACTAAAATTGTGTCAAATATTACGACTTGATAACACTTTCTTGGCTGCTATTGCTCCAATCTCAACACAGACAACATTAGTTGAGGAACAAACAAACTTTGCATTGTCACACACTCATTACTTAAAGTTAACATACCTTTGTGCCGAAGGGACTTAATCCAGCGCAACAAGAAAGATTACTTATTAAAGTATAGATAAACGTCCTCGTTGTCCAATTAAAGGCGAATTCTCATAGTGAACTGCTTTGCCGAATTCATTTCAAAACTACACTGTGCTTAACGGTCAATATTGTTCTCTTCTGTTTGAACCGGACATTAAATTGCATGACTAAGTCTAAACAAATCTAGCTGAAGAGCGAAGGAGTTGAGTATATTGCTTGATTTTTATGTTCATGTTAAGCAGTCCTAAATTTGGTCATAAGAGTTCAACTTTACTTTAAGTTGAAAATTAAGTATATAATTCAGACCATAGCTGCTGCCTCTGATTTTACTGAATGGAATCTTGCTGAACTGCAGAGGACTTAATTCATGAACAGCAATGTATTTGAATGTTGAAATGGTAAGATTGCAAAGTATCAATGTTTCAAGAACGTGATTAGGTACTTTTGAATGGGTCTGTCGCATGCTATAAATACAGCCAAATAAATATACTATTTACAGGTGAAATCGCAGGCAAATCACGTTGAGCACATTAAAAACGTCTGAAATCCACTCCTTAGTAAGCAATCTGTGTAGTTTGTAACATGCCTTTTCAAGTTTCCCTTGTCTCTTGGCAGTATTTTGCAGTCACTGTGGACCAGGTTTGCACAGGCAGAGAAATAAAAAAAAATTAGCCTGAGTAAACAAACAATTTCACTAACTTTATTTATTGTACATATGATTTTAATCGTTTTCAAGCATTTTTTTCCTATTTCTTTCTCTATTTTGCTAAAACAAAAGCTATGAATCAATTAAAATCTCACGCAAGCAGAGTTTATAACCCTTCGGAAGGTTGTTTGTTTCTTTAGGTTAGATCTCTCTCCGGGAAACCTGAGTCCTGACTGCCGGCCAGCAAGAAAAATTGCCCGCATGTACGGTAAATTTGATAAAGCGAGTTACAAAGTACGTAGAATGCGCGCTAAAGAGTAGATTTCAGACTTTTTATGTTTCCAACGTGTTTTTGAGCGAATGTATCCTTGGAAAAAGTATTTTAGTGGCTGTATCTCGTGCGTGCAACAGACCCTTGAATGAAAACATTAAATCATATCATAATTAGCTGTTCAAGTGCTTGAACTGTTTCGAACTATAAATTTGTAAGTCTCGATTCCCGTTTTTCCATGTTGTCCTCTGCAAATAATAGATTGACTAGATTTTATTAATCCTGTAATGCACACGATTTTTTCAATGTATGTAGACAAATCCATTTCCTGAAAACAAAATTCCTATATCTTCATCTGTGTCCACAGAAAACAGTGAAACTTAGAATTAATCCCAAAATGAGCAATTCTGATAGATATCCGGGACCGATCCCAAAACGATGGTTGAAGTGTCCAAGGAAAGCAGGAGATGTGATTGCAGGGAAATTCTTGGCGTTTAAAACTCCTCTCGACTCAAGATATGATGATCAAGTTCCAGAAGAGTATCGCTTTCCTCCTCAGATGTTGTTTACTATAATGAAAAGTTACAAGGTAAGTAAGGAGATCCTATTCTTCTCCCACTGGAATTTTCTAATTTTCCATTCCTAGTAACCAGTCCTACACGAGGAACACAGAATTTTAGTCAAATTTCAAAAGGTGAAAAATTCAAGATGGTGGACGTGGTCTGAAACAGTAGCGATTTTAGGAAGTTGGCCACTCTGTTTTTCCTCCATTTAAATCCATAAAAAAGATCGATTCTAGGTGAGGCAAGCTACCTCACCTAGAATCGATTGTTTTACATGCATGTAAATTGAGGATAAACAGTGTTGCCCTCTTTCTGAAATTGCCACTGGTCTGAAAGATATCATGGGCCTTTTCAACCAGAAAAGGGGGGAATTTTGTCAAAGCTTGGTCATGAATTTCTTGTTTTAGGTTGGGGAAAGTCTGTGACTTTTGCTGAAATTATTCTCGGATATTTTAGAAAATTTTGAGTAGTTGGGAAAAAGTCAGGAAACCTTGATGTTGGAATTCCTTTGCAACGTGACGATGTTGTCAGATTCTCCTAGTTCAGGAGCTGTTCTTACAGCTGCAATCTGATCTTGCAAATGAATGCTCAATACATTTTTCCTAATTTTTATAATCCTTCCGAAAAACTTAAACAGTAGATATCCGGAAAAACTGGTATTGCTGATCATAGAAAAACCACCCTTGAAATCTAGTAGCCGTCCTCATGTCTACAGGTCTTTTATTAATAGGCTGGAAGTATTCCTCTATCAATCTATCTTTCTCTTATTCAACGGAAGAATTTTGTTTTCTTCAAGAAAATGAAATTTTAATGCTTTTCAGCAAATTCATTTTTGAATAATCAGAATGAAAAGGATATTAAGACTACTGAAAACCTTTTTCAAATAATATCTCATTAGTTTTGGTTTCTACTGATCTTATAATTTTTTTTTTGTTTCGTCAAAGATCTTAACAAGTCCAATGAATCATTTCAGATCCAATTAGGAATGTGGTTTGATTTGACGAACACCGATCGATTTTACAACAGTGCAGAGGTTGAACAGAATGATTGCCGATATTTGAAGATTCAATGTCAGGGTCACGGTGCAACACCTACTTTACAACAGACAAGAGTTTTTCTTGACATTGCAGAGAGTTACATTTCCAAATTCCCCTTGGCAAAGATAGGTAAATATCAAAAGTTTTTCTTTATTATCCTATGGAATTCAAGCGATGAAACTTCAAATTACAACTCTTGTTCTTAGTTGAACTTGACACCACTATTGATGAATCAAAAATTGTTTCCAGTAAAAAGTGTCGCCAAGAAAACCGTAATATGCTCGAAAAACGCTAATTTCTCCAATCTTATCTGCCCATCTCAAGTGATGCATCTCTTGAGCTCAGAATTAATTTTGCAAATTTACAGAACATGCTGTTATGAGAGTCCAATATAAATTCTCATTGCATTTCTCAGAAAGATGTAGTCTCATTGCAACATTGGTTCAATTTAAAATCTAATCAGATATCAATTCCACTGTACTTAGGAAAAATTTGATGCAAAGCCTTAAAATGTAGCAAAACTTCTGTGTTACATACTTTGAAAAGGCTCTGATGAATATATCAATTTTCTCTTTTATAAAAGGTAACATTACATGCACTTCAATTTTATAATCGTCTGATTAAATCAATATCACTTTCTTGTTTCTAGGTGTTCATTGTACACATGGCTTTAACAGAACTGGTTTTTTAATTTGCTCATTCTTGGTAGAGAAAATGGACTGGAGTATAGGTGCTGCGCTCACAGCATTTGCGCAAGCTAGGTTTGTGTTTTATCCAATCATTACTTTTCATCCACACCTCTACAAGTAACTTTAATTGAGGGAGTAAGAACTTCTGATCAAGATTTGGAATGCTAGCGCTAACCACACCATTTATTTATAAAAGGGCTCAAGTGTCAAAAACTCGGGTTTTAGTTTCCCCAATACATCATGATTTCGATACTTGCATTAGTTTTCTTTTTTTGGACCCTATTATCTGCACTAACTTGTGATAGAGGTTCTGCAATGTCAGTTATTTTAAGCAATCTTGCCCACTTTCTGTCCTGAGACGTCCTTCAGTTGCGCATCAATGTTTGACGTCAGATCCTGTTTTCAACAAATATCACCTTTTTTTTATTCGTTGATTTAAATGGTTTAGCCCTTTTATTACATTACAAAAAAATCATTTTTATTCCTTATTTTATTAGTCCTAATTACCTTAAAAACTGTGATAATGCCAGACCATAATCATTTTGGATCTGGAGTTCCACATCAGGTCTTGGTTTTTCGCATCTTTTATGCAACGAGCACTGTACAGATTTAAATTCTTCAGAATACTTTAACCTACCAAGAGATTAAGCTTTAAAACTCATACAGAAACTTATGTAAAAAAGAGGTTAAGTTAAGTTTTACATGAGAAATAAATGAAGATGAGCAAAATTTTAGTATGTATTCATGTATGATGTAAAGTATAGTAGTATTAAAAAGGAACAAAATAGGGACTTGATGAATTTCTTTTTTTAAATTAACGCAAAATTGGAAAGAGTAAACCATGGTCATTTTTGATCCTGATAAATTTTTCTATTCTGGTGGATCATAGTCATTTATAAGGGACTGTTTTTGTCAAACTTCTAAGGAGCAGTTGTGAAGAGTAATTTTTGTCCTTTTTGCATGAAAGTACTATCATATACCACTTACCTATCTCAATTTTCGTATTATTCGTATTTTATGATTTTACTATCACTTTTTATGATCAACTTCGAGCATTCATATTTCATAGAGAAATAAACTTGAACGAACTTGAAACTTGTTTTACTCTGTTAGGCCACCCGGAATTTACAAAGGCGACTACATTAGAGAACTATACAATAGATATGATGATGTTGCTGATGCTCCTTTGCCTCCCGAGCTACCCTCTTGGCACACCGGTAAACATTTATTTATCTATTACAGCTTCTTATAATGGCTATTATTATTGTCTACATTAAAACTTTTTTCCTCAATTTCCTACTTTTCATACCTTCCGCATGTTAAATTTTTACATCTTATTCTTTGTGTATGTAGATTATCTGCTAAGCCAGCTCCTCTCTCCTTTGTAATGGCTCTTGGAAATACTATAGAAAGACGGCTGTGTCTGAAATTAAATTCTTGACAATGAATAACCATGGCAACTCATTAGAATACGGCTCTAGAGAGAAAGCCCCACAGCACTGTACACATGCGGACGCTACCAGTATGAATCTTCAAGCACGGGAAAATAATGACCGTGTAACTAAAATGCTGTACAGACTGCAAATAAGAGTCTGCTAGTGAATGAAACCATCAAATTTTTTTACTGTCATGATTTGATTAATAAATTGCAGGAACAATCAAGAAGTCTTTGCAAAAGTGCTGCAATTCTTCCCAAAAAAAGAAAAAATAGAGATAAAAAGTTATTATGAAAGGGACTTTAAAAATGGGATAGTCAATCTGAGAAATTGGATTACTAGAAACTTTTTGGAGCCTTAAACTGGGCAGACCAGTTAAAATGTAAAACCTCAATGTATCTGTAAACTCCGTAGTTAAACTGAGAACTCACAGAATGTAAAAAAAGTATGATTATTTGTATCCTTTTTCAGAAGAGGAGGATGATTCTATATCGTTTCAAGGCAACAATTCTGGAAGAAGAGAGTGAGTCAGCAATTTTATTCCTGCATTTCTATTCTCTTTCATATTATTTTGTCATTGGTCATTTAGAGGAAGCACCTAAGTTAGGCAACGTTGGCTGTTCTTATACTGTTCCTTAGCCACTCGTCTATAATCACAATTCTTTTCAAATCTTTTTTTTTTTTAAATATACTATCCCTAATGCCGAATGTTGTGATATGAAACTTTTTCGTTCTTTATGGGCTACATAAAATCAGAATTTCCATTTCGGGCTGGTTCTCACAAACGATAATGTTTTGATAATGTCAGTAACTGGTTACACTTATTGCGGTATCCGTTCATTGCCTGTGGGACTACCGTCCCTGCCTCCCTGAACATGGTTGATTTGGGGAGGCACAGACAAAAACTGTTCAGGTGAGTAGGTGACAAGCCGCCCCTCTTTTTGGGTCTAATTTCAAAGTTTTTACAGTGTGAAAGTAATTTCAGCTGAATCATCATGTCCGTTACAGTTTTCTCTCGGTTTTGTTCAAGATTAATTTTCAAATTATAAATTCCTGCAGCATGAATTCCTTTACAATAATAAACTTGATAACTGACTGTTTCATAATTTGTTTGATGGAACAATTTTGAGATTTTAGCCATTATAATCCATTTCATGATTCCTTATTACTGTACAGAAAAAATCCCAAAATCTAGAATCTGTTAGAAAAAAAATTTACCTTTTTAACGCCTCTAAAACAAAACATCGTGAAAATAACTTCAGTCGAGAATTCAGCTCTTTTAATATATGTATTTTTTGTGTTTGTTTTTTCCACCCAGAGAGAACAATTATCGCCGAAAAGAAAAGAACAAAAAGGATCCAGAATTTATGGAAGGTGTAGGAGGTGTGACGCCTATCACAGAACAACCACTCCTGAATAAAATTCAGCGTAGGATTCAAGAGCTTTGTGAATGGAAACAGTTGAGTCTTCATTATTTTTATTACCTAATTTCTTATTTTTAAAACCTCCCTTTCAGTGGTAAAACCTTATCCTACCCTCGGAAGTTTCAAGTGAAACCTTTTAAATTTGTAAAGGTATACGCTCATATGGAAAGTCTACAAAAAGTAGTCAGAATTTATTCATAAAATACAAAAAAAAAAAATCTGCCTTATAGGCGTGCAGGAACATCTTGACCATGCGACCAGCAGGTATTTGGTCATGTGCGAAAAAACAGAGTGAAGCACTCTATTGTCAAGGACTTGAGGGAAGTAATGTTTCTGGTAATACCAAACTCTCAAAGTGGCTGTGTGTCTGAAATATCACAAAACGGTGTCTCGAAAGTGGTAAATTGGCTTGCTGTTGCATTAAAATCAAGTGGTTTTTTTCGCAAAATTTTGGAATTTTTCTAAGCATGAGCAAGAATAATTTTTTTTTTTTNNGGGGAGGATATATGTAGATTGTATCATTGGCAAAGAATTAAGCCATAATTACACAAGGTGCTGTGCTTTCTTCTCATGAGGAGTTTATTTAACTTATCTTATTTTTCAATGAAATTTTAAACATAAACGTCAGGCTTCTAAGCGAAACTTGTTCAAAACTTAACCTTACACTTAATTGTATGTGCCATGATCTCTTGTTCTTCGCTTTTTCTCATTAATTGCAATCCACTAATGTTTTTAATATGTATTTTCTCTATTTCTTAGTTCTGGATTCCCAGGCTGTCAGCCTGTCTCAATGGATCTTAAGAATATCGAAAAACTCCATGAAAAACCTTACAAAGTATCCTGGAAAGCTGATGGGACTAGGTATAGTTAGATTTTTCCTAATCAAACAATACTATGTCACTTGGTGGGTAGGTTTAACTAGGATCACAGCTATTGTTTGAATCCTTCATTTTCATAGAGGCACCACAGAATGCTGAATGGCATAATGTGCCTGCTAGCAAACTATTTTACTGAGCCTTAATCCCCTAGTTGACGGTGCTGATTGCAGCACCCTGACACCCTCATTAGAAATTTGTCCGCATCAATTAATTTTGTCTTGCGAGGCTTTGTCGGCAAGGTGGGGAGAGAGGGGAACTTTTAACATGCTACTTTTTACCATCTAAAGGGTTTGGTCTCACAGCGCATACCAGGGTGTGGCTTATTTCATTAAACGAAAATAAGAATTTCAAAATTAATGAGGCATCTTGGCAAGATGCTCTGATCCATATAAAAACTAACATTGTAGAACGACATCAGAGGACAGCATTCTAATTATTTCGTGCCAGAAAAATCAGTCTATTTCAAACCTTCATTCTTCTAAACAATTGACGGACAATCCACTCAAGTTTTCTTCTTTCAGCTTTGTATTTTTAAGCCTTGACTTTAAAAATGGCAACAATTTTTTCCTACCATGTCCGAATTTTTTGTTAATCTTACGATCTCCCCCTCAAAAATTCTACTCTCCAGGGAAAAAATCGGTTTTTCATTAAACTTGTATAGATTCAGTAGTCAAAAATACTAAAAATATAAAGCAGAAATTCTATAAAACACCTGAGAATTCCTCGGACTCTCCCTGATAGCGAAGTTCCTTTAATCGATCAAGTAGATTGGTCCATTAACCCTAGATAAATCTTATATACTCAACTTTTGTTTAAAAGGAAGAGTAATTTTTTTAAACCATCCTTGTGGAGCTTTTTTCCACATACTTCGTACTTTTAAAACCAAACTTGACCTCGATTATTTTTGTTCGCTTCTTACTTTTTCAGGAAGTTGAATCATTCAAAAAACGATTGGAAAAAAAGTTTGAGGGTCTTTCGGAGCCTCTAAATGTTGAGCAAATGCAAAACCGGTCTACAGCATTTTCTCTTACATATATTAAAATGCTTTGGAAGAGTTTTTTGTTAATTTTGAAGTATATCAGTTTAGTTTCTCTAATTAAGTCACACCCCAGAGTCTCACCAAAGATATTCTTATTTAAGGTTTAAATTTTAGACTAAGAATTTTTTCACCTCTGAGTTTAATTTTCATGTTGACTCAGAGTTTCTTTTGAAAATGTCCTCATAATTATTACTTATTCTTGAAGTGTGGTTTTCTTTTCTTTAGGTACATGATGCTCATTGATGGTCCAGACCATATATTTTTTGCTGATCGTGATAATAGTATATTTCAAGTGCATGGCGTCCAATTTTTCCATCGAAAAGAACCAGATAGACATCTAAGTTCAACTCTTCTGGATGGTGTAAGTAGACCTAAAATTTCAGTACGCCCAGGGTTAACAACATAAACATCAGACAGCAATCAGTTTACAGTCAATAAAAAAAAAAATTTTATGTTTGGTTTTAAAAATAAGAAATGAAAGCGTCCTAAAAATATATTTTAAAAACCATTGCGTAAAGCAGGAAGATTCAATTTGAAAACAATTCCTTAATCATAATTTAATTATCAAGTCGCAAGGAGATAAACCTGTGTTTTTTCAATAATACTTGCCTCGGTGGTTTGCATCTTTTATATGCGCTTTTCCATGTTGTATTCTATTCTTATTTTTGTTGTATAATATCTATTATTTATTTCTCAGGAAATGGTCATTGACAAAGTAGGCGGACAGTCTATACCAAGATATCTCATTTATGACATAATTCGCTATGATAATGAAAAAGTAGGGCAAACTCCTTTCTCTCTCAGGCTTTTTTGTATTGAGGTAAGTGATCATTTTAGCATCTAGTAGCATTGAATTCTTCAATCTCTTAGTATAATTTGATCTTTCCTGTTTAATGAACTCTCATTTATAGGAATAGGGGAGTCAAAAGAATTTAATGAGGCAGTCATAATGATGTGATAGATTAGTGGTCCCAACAGCTAGTAGTTGTCAATGTACTCTCCTGCAGCGTAGCTGAGCCCCTAATTACAGTGAATTTCTGATTGACTGTACGAAAGTACAGAATTATTCATCTGTAAAATGATTTTTATTTCCTCTTCATGTATCGTGAGAACGGTCTCTAAATATCAAAGGCCAATTTTTTATTCGCTTATGCAGTCAGTCAAAAAGATTTATGAAAATTAGGGAAAAATGACAAGTTGTGGCTTTGTCACTACGCAAAGGGTTAGATTTAATCCAGAGCTGTGAAAAAATAATTTTTTAAATAATGCTTAGCCAAAATACGCCATCAGTTGCAGTGGATCTGTGTACTAAAAAAGAAGAGCAAATGAGAACTTCAGCAAAATGCATTCAATATATTCCTGTTTGATTGCCACCTGCCCAGTGGAAATTCGTTTGAAGGGTGTAGCTATTTTTATTGCAACTAATAATTTTTTATTGCTAATTTTTAATAATTGATAATCTTATTTTGATCTTTGATCTTTTCCTCTCCAGAAAGAAATAATTGGACCTTATATTAAAGCTAAAGAAGAAGGTCGCATCAAAGTTGAAAACGAACCCTTTCGTATGAGAGCTAAAGCATTTTTCGATCTTCATGACACCGCCAGCTTATTAGGTTCCAAGTTCCAAAGTCAGCTTTCGCATGAACCTGATGGTCTGATATTCCAGCCCAAAAGAGATGTAAGTTTTATTCTAATTCTACAAGCATAATAACATGAAATTGAGGAAAATAATGTGAACGGTTTAAAAATCCTTATAAGCACTCCTAAGGCATGTTTTGTATTGGTTACCAGCATCATCAGCGCCCCTTAGAGTGTGTCATATCGTATTTTGTTTGCCTCATGCCATCAGAAAGAGGCAGGGCATCTTTCACACCATCTGCGTGTAATACAATTGTATTTTATGTACTATTGTTCAGAATAAATTAATCAAGCCAATAAAGATTGATTAATGTTCGTTACGGTTACCATACGGTACTACGCGATGGCCTTTTTTGTTGTTAAGTGATGACAATCGACAGTCGAAAATTTATTTCAAAACTTTGGAAACCATTGCTTTTCTCTTGTTTTCCCCATTTATATTTGATAGTTTTAGTTGGAATTGAAAGTATGTAGAAATAAGCATTATTCCTATTTACTTTTTTTATTATTTTTCAGCCGTATGTTTGCGGTCAATGCAAGGAAGTTCTGAAATGGAAACCTGACTCTCATAACTCAATAGATTTTAGGTTGAAAATAGAATTAGTGAATCAACCAGGGTAAGAGGTCCAATTATTTTTGATTATTTTAATCATCTCTTGTCCAAACTATCCTTCTGTTTTCGCCACTCAAGTGTATTGTTTGCTCTGGAATATGAGCAAAAAAAGCAATTGCCAAAAACTGAAGAAATTGGTTCGTTCATATCTATTTCATTCTTGTGTTTTGAGCACATGTATTTCTTTCAATAGAAAATGGTGACTGGATATTTTTCACTGAAATTCCCCATTTACATTTCCCTCAGCCTTTCCTCTGAAAGTGCTTGTAAAAAATTAGTGTAAGTACTTAGTGTATTTAATGTTAAAGGTAAATAGTCGAAGACCCTTAAGGCTCATTTATGTTAGGTATTTATATTAGAAATACATACAAAAAAAAAATCCCTTGGGAATTTAGGGCATGGTACTTGAAGGACCTTTTCTTGAGTGTCTGCTCTTTAATGTATGGTGATCTGGGGGCATTGCTTAAGATTGTCTTTACCTGTTTCAAGGTTGCCACAGTTTAGGAATACCAAGTAATATCAGGAAATTTTAAAAATCAGAAAAACCTGGAAATGTTAGGGAAAAATTGTCCAGTCATCTTGATTTTCTTTCTAGAATGAGTTTGCCGTTTTGAACAACGGATTTTGCGTAAAAACTATTTCAAATTATGTCTTTTTAACCATCTGGCATATCCTCAATTGTCAAGAATTACACCAAAATGTGACAAGGAAGTTAGGGAAAGGTCAGGGAATTTCATTTTCTAAATTCTGCGGTAATCCAGAATGTTTCAGGCTGAAGTGAGAGAAATTGATGAGGGAATTGATCGGAAATCCCTCTTTTTTTTGCTGACACATATTTTTCGGCGACAGAAAATGCAATTCATCTCCTTTTACTTCTGCCCAAAGGATTCAGAAGTGCAGCAAGTTTCTGATTTTACAGTTGAGATTAGATGGATGGGAGTAAAGCTCGTCTTTCGGGAGGCTGTGTAGGATTCAGACAATTATATTGTGGAGAGAAGAGAGAGAATCGGTTCAGATTCTTTTTGTCGTGAAAGTTGATTGATTTACAAAGATGTTGGATTGCAGTTGGTTTGTTCCTTTATCATTTTCCCCATACCATCTTTTGCGTGATTTCCGTTATTGTTATCAAGACCGTCTAGTTTCCCCCAATTCAGTAATTCCCTTTTTTTACGTTTACTTTATTTTGAAATTCTCCATCACTTATTTTAGGATTATTTAAAATATTTTGGAGCTGTTCCTTTGCCTTTTTCTCCTTTATTCCTTCTTTCCTTTTTAAACTAAAATCAAGAGGTTCAATCTAAGAGCTATCTCAATAGGTTTAGTCCATCAGCTTTTATTATTTTCTCTCTGCCAGCACTTTCATTTTTTCTCTTTCATTTCCATTAGAGAGAGGTACGGTTTGGCTGCTATTTTGGCTGGTCTGACCAGTCAGCTCTCCCCCCCCCCCNGCTCATTATTCTCTTCTTTCTCTCGTCCTTTTTTTTTAGTATTTTTTATCAGTGGGTATTCCATCTTCGTCGCCAAAAATTGTCATGTAATGTAAAAAATATTGGTAAAAATTATGGGCATTGAAAGAAAACAAAGCAATAATTTGCAAAATCATTACAATAGTTTGAAAAATAGAGGTGTTCCTTCAGCTCACCAGTCAATGTGTGTCTCCTTAATTCCTCCTGAATTGCAACTACAAATGTAGTCGGTCGAATTTATATTCCATTTTTCCTATGAGATATGTCTTTTTTTAAGAGTTTGTAAGAGATGCTCTGTTGTTTTTATTTTAGCATGCTTCCTGAAAAAGTTGGCAAACTGTACGTGGGCAAAGACGTGCTTTTTGATACAATGAAAGTCTCAAAAGCAATGAGGGATTTAAATAATAAAATTATTGAATGCAAGTACGACAAAACAAGAAATACTTGGGTCTTCATGAGAGAAAGAACAGACAAGTCGTTTCCTAATAGTTTTAATACAGCCATTGGTAAGTACGAGTACCTTCTTGCATTTGATTTTTAACTTAGGATGTAATGATAGGAATACTATATGTTTATGAAAATAATCCACTTTTGCGTATTATACATACTCCAAACTGAAAATATGGTTATTCAAGCACACCAATCTTTATTAATTTGTGGGTCTTGGTTAAATTTTGGTAAAATGCTCCCTTGGTGAAAGTAAAAACTTGTCTCTTTTTTTTGTCCTTAGTTAGCCATGCCACCTTCCTCATGGAAATAGGTCATTTTTTGGGATAATAGTTGCTGGGTCCGCGAGTAGGGTCCTAGTTTGGTTCATAGCGTTGGAGCATATCGCTACTCTTTGGCGTGAGAGGACTGTGAGAGAGTCGTTGAGATATTTTTCCTTGAAGGGCTTGGTTCATAGTTGGGCCACCAGTGCAAGTGGCCCATAAAAGGGAATTACTATATTCCCAGTTGTCATATTTGGCACTAAGGAAGTCTTTTTCTGATGTTTATGAAATCACATGTTGCAACTGATGTTTACTCTTTTTCTGAGGTTATCAAGGAGGGGAAAGGTTTAACTGTGCTTTGTCAAGTTCAAAACTATGAAATTCTGCAGTCTCTCATCAAAATTGGTTTGTGTGCTCTTATATCTCTGTGTTTTTTTGAGAGCGGTGAGCCCACTGTACAGAACGAATTGACAAAGATGTAGACAACAGTAAAGTTACATGAAAAAGTCCCTTAATCTAATTTGAAGTACTCTTTAATTATAATCTGTAATGAATCACCTCAAAAAAAAAAAATAAATAAATAAATAAAATTTTTCTGTCCACAAACTTACCTTTAGCTTTCTCCCTTTTCTTTTTCTGTAACTTTACCATTGCAAAGGCTTTTCACAGTCTAAAGTAATATTTATCATAAGCACTGCTGTGAACTTATAAAATATGGCTGATTTTTTCATTTTCAAATTTTTTTTTTAAATACATGCAGATTTTGTTCTTTTTTTGATGAAATTTCTACCTGACACCTTTCACATTCTTCCTTCCTTTTTTTCAGCTGTGGCAGCTTCCATTAAAGATCCTGTAACAAAAGAATTTTTAATCAACTTTGTAGAACAACGTCGATGGATGTGCGATGATCCCCTCAAATTGTCTTCATCTAAAGAGGATGCAGAAATGATGCCTCCCCCTAAAATGCGTCGACTGAATTAACAATACTCCTTAACAAGTCATAATAAATCTTGGCTTAATTTACTTAGTTAATTGTTTTGTCTGGTTCAAAACTACACTTCAGATACTTTTTTCCTTGTTTATAGTGCTCCCCCTCCCCTTTTCTTTTTTAATTCTTCCCCTGTGAAATGTGAATCAGTATTTTCGTGGATCTATGGATTATGTATCTCATCTCTAAAATTTATCAAGCATAAATGAAAGCGGTGATTTTCATTGATTACTTCTTATCATTTTTATTTAAGAATGCTGTAAATTCTATTTTTAGAAACATGGGAATTGTCAGAGGAATTATTTTACTTTTCTCAAAAATTAATAGATAAATTTGAAATGATTAATCCTTGAGCACCCTGCCTGAAAATAAATATTATATTTTGTTTTAACATTTGAGTCTTCTTGGAAAATTTTCCTCACACTGCTAGTACCTTTGTGATCTCAGAAGTGGATTTAAGGGAAGATCACATGCGTCGTAGCCCATGTTGGCAAAGGGGGCAGCAAATCAAGGAATTGTGGCGGCAGATTGCAGAAGTGATCATTTTTTTTTGCTTTCTAAGGCTTTCAAAGTTATCTTTTTCAAAATCCAAGGGTGGCAAACTGTAGTCGGCCCAGGGCTGCAAATTCCTAGATTCAACCCCATGTGATATCAAATTTAAATCATTATCAAATTAAGTGAATTTGATTAATATAGAGTCGGTAAGTCTTCCATTCATTGTCTCTATTTTTAAAATATATTGACAGTGTAGGTAAGTGCAAGAGTACGAATTTCGTTTAAGGTGTTTCAAAATCTCCCCTCCCATCTCTCCTTATCAAAAGAGAAAAAACTTTGCTATTGCTTGGAATTCTTGTGGAATAGGTATTCTTCACACAGAGGAGGAATATCATGAAAGTTTTCAAGATATGATGTTGAGTACTCTTCTGTATGAAAATTAAAGCATGGCAAGGAGTCTGCAACATTGCAAACTTAGATATCGATGGTGAAACTGCTAAAATGCGTACCCATCTCGGTTGCTATGTTTCAAAACATTCGCTCCTATTTTATTTTTTAAAAGAAGACCAAACGAAGTAATCACTTGAAATTTTCACGGAATATTCTTCAAATAGATAAGAAAAATCACCGGGGTTTTCAAGAAATAACGTATATTCGTTTTCGATGTATAAAATTAAGTATGAGGGGAAGTCTGCAATGCCCCAAACCGAGATACCTACGCATTTCTGCAGTTTCACCATAGACGATATGTGTTCCTGCAGTTTCCTTGTGGATACGCTTATATTTTGCAATTCTCTTTGCTCAATGATATGAAGTGTCAGGAAAATTTGTAGAAATTTCTTTTAGCAGGAGGTATGCAGTTTCAGGTAAAAAAAGAGATAAGTAATAATGTTGGAGAAATTGAAAGTACCTAGACACTGTGCACCTGAGGCTAGGGTGGGACTTATTTTTTTAAATCGACAAAACCAAATGTTGCACGGTCTTAAATGGTTCTATGTGATAAAAAAACACGGTAGCCAAGAGGATTTTGAGAAAAAAAAATTTTAACCCGGCGCGCACAGAGCCTAAACATCGAGATTTTTCCGGGTTTTTTGGCATTTTCGCCGTATATTTTTGATATTTTTGCCAGCAACACGGATTTGACGCTAGATGTCCAAAAATTGGTACAAACCTAGCACATACCTTGCAGATTAGGGGAAAATTTTTGTTTTTCTCCTAGGTCACTCTCAGTTCGCTTGGTAATGCCGAAACTCTCCGCTCGGCAGCTCTAAAAATCGAAATTTCGCCGTTTTTTAACGTATAATGAACTTTTTGAGCAACCTATAATGGTAGTAAAAATCCGAAAATTGGTGGAAAGCAAGTCCATACCATCAGTATGGAAGGGCAAATGTCAGAAAACTCCTACGTCTTTTACTTTCTGCCAAGCTATGCCCATAATGGTGGAAAACTTGTCAAAAATAGCTCAATTTTGACCGTTTTTTCGCGTTCGAAAATTTATTGGACACCCTGTAATGACAATGAAGGTCCGAAAATTTGTGGAAAGTAAGTTCATACCATCTGTATGAAATAAAACATTTTACTTGGTTCATACGTCTTATATTCTTCGACCTGCGATACCCGAGATGGCAGCGAAAACGTCAAAAATACCTCAAAATGGCCGTTTTTTGATAATTTTTTGGAACACCTTGTAGTGGCAGTGGAGGTCCGAGAATTTGTGCAAAGTAAGTTCATACCCTCCGCAAGGGATAAAAAAATCTACTTGGTTCCTATGTCTTACATTCCTCGTTGTGCGGTGCCCGCAATCACTTCGAAAACGTCAAAAATACCTCAATTCGGCCGTTTCTTCAATGGCGAAATTTATTAGACACCCTGTAATGACACTGGAAGTTCGAAAATTGGGGAAAAGCAAGTCCATACTACCAGTATAAAAGGGCAAATTTCGAAAGGTCCATAGATGTTTGATTCTTGGTCGCACGGTGTCTTCAGATACACAAAAATCGTGAAAAATACCTCCATTTTGTCCGGTCTTTCGCTATTAAAATTTAATAGACACCCTGTAACGGCAACAGAGGTCGAAAAATTTTCTGAAAGTAAGATCATTCCATCTTCATGCAATAAAAAATTCTACTTCGTTCCTATGTTATGCATTCCTCGTTTTGCGGTGCCCGCAATGGCATCGGAAACGACAAATATATCTGAGTTCGGTCAATTTTTTTTACGCACCCTTTTTTTCGCACCCTGTTATGACATCAGCGACTCTTAAAAGTGCCAAGTAAATATACCTTGTTTATATATCTGAAAGGAACGGCAATTTTTCAAAGACCCTTACATTTATAATTGTTGTCGCTAGACGCCCTGAAGTAAGGCGAAATTTTCTAAAATACCTAAATTTTATCCATTCCTTTCTTTCAACACTAGCTTCTTACATAGTTTCGGACCTCCGCTGTCAGTACAGGGTGTCTGCAAAAATAATTCGGTAAAAAAAATTGACCGAACTCAGATATATTTGTCGTTTCCGATGCCATTGCGGGCACCGCAAAACGAGGAATGCATAACATAGGAACGAAGTAGAATTTTTTATTGCATGAAGATGGAATGATCTTACTTTCAGAAAATTTTTCGACCTCTGTTGCCGTTACAGGGTGTCTATTAAATTTTAATAGCGAAAGACCGGACAAAATGGAGGTATTTTTCACGATTTTTGTGTATCTGAAGACACCGTGCGACCAAGAATCAAACATCTATGGACCTTTCGAAATTTGCCCTTTTATACTGGTAGTATGGACTTGCTTTTCCCCAATTTTCGAACTTCCAGTGTCATTACAGGGTGTCTAATAAATTTCGCCATTGAAGAAACGGCCGAATTGAGGTATTTTTGACGTTTTCGAAGTGATTGCGGGCACCGCACAACGAGGAATGTAAGACATAGGAACCAAGTAGATTTTTTTATCCCTTGCGGAGGGTATGAACTTACTTTGCACAAATTCTCGGACCTCCACTGCCACTACAAGGTGTTCCAAAAAATTATCAAAAAACGGCCATTTTGAGGTATTTTTGACGTTTTCGCTGCCATCTCGGGTATCGCAGGTCGAAGAATATAAGACGTATGAACCAAGTAAAATGTTTTATTTCATACAGATGGTATGAACTTACTTTCCACAAATTTTCGGACCTTCATTGTCATTACAGGGTGTCCAATAAATTTTCGAACGCGAAAAAACGGTCAAAATTGAGCTATTTTTGACAAGTTTTCCACCATTATGGGCATAGCTTGGCAGAAAGTAAAAGACGTAGGAGTTTTCTGACATTTGCCCTTCCATACTGATGGTATGGACTTGCTTTCCACCAATTTTCGGATTTTTACTACCATTATAGGTTGCTCAAAAAGTTCATTATACGTTAAAAAACGGCGAAATTTCGATTTTTAGAGCTGCCGAGCGGAGAGTTTCGGCATTACCAAGCGAACTGAGAGTGACCTAGGAGAAAAACAAAAATTTTCCCCTAATCTGCAAGGTATGTGCTATAGGTTTGTACCAATTTTTGGACATCTAGCGTCAAATCCGTGTTGCTGGCAAAAATATCAAAAATATACGGCGAAAATGCCAAAAAACCCGGAAAAATCTCGATGTTTAGGCTCTGTGCGCGCCGGGTTAAAATTTTTTTTTCTCAAAATCCTCTTGGCTACCGTGTTTTTTTATCACATAGAACCATTTAAGACCGTGCAACATTTGGTTTTGTCGATTTAAAAAAATAAGTCCCACCCTACCTGAGGCACCAAATCACTTGAAAAAGATAAATATGTACATGATTTATTAGAGAACAGTCAATTTTGAAAGAATTTGTTCGAAATTCGCAGCGCTCCAAAGAAAATTTTGAACTTATTTTCTTTCTATCTATAAGATGATTTCTATAAAGTCCATTGGCTTTGAAAGTGGCGAACCATTAGTGTAAAAATTATATGTAACTTCCTGTTAGTTAGTTAGTTAATTAATTAAGCCAATTAGCGACTAGGCTATTTACGTCTGAGACTAAGAGTTTGCCTTAAATATCAAGATTAACTTGTTTAAAGAGCTTTAAAATTTCGGTTGTTACGTTTGATTGAGGATTATTAATTTTAATGAAACATATCGACGGTGTAAGTCGGCGATCACCTAACTCGCATCCTTAACATTCTAGAGGAAAAATCAAATTTACCGCCAAGAAAATAACCGGTCGTACCACCAGTCGGCCGTCATCAATCACCATCCGCCATTTTTATTTAGCCGTCGGTTTGTTGACATGCATTCGCATTGCGTCTTCGTTCACCACCGGCTTCCGCTGGATTAATTTTGCATTTAACTGATTCCCACTGCATTTTCGAACTCACTAAAGCGTTAACAAACATGGCAGAATACTTGGCATCAATCTTTGGAACAGAAAAAGACAAGTAAGTCCCAAATTTTTCTTATTTCCTCTTACTCTAGTCAACGAACCAAGGCTCCTCCTCAGACCATCATGTAAAATTGTCATCAAATACATTGCTCTGAGAATTCACCGTTTAAATCGTTGTATATAGGCTTTTATTAGAAGTTACCGATAGCAATATTGTATTTCAATCTCAATCATTTAGAAGAAACCCTTGCTCCAATACTGGATTTGACTTGGAGACCGGATCAAGACCATAGCGTGAATGAATTCCGTGCTCCATTCTTAATTAGGAGACTCATTAAACAGGCGTTGGTAAGCAGAGTTTGACAGATAGGTGAAAACACGAAACAGAGCCCTGGTGTGCTAGACGCTGTTTAGGGTGACTTTTAACCAGTTTATTCCCTTAAGGTGGATCTTAGCTTTTGCGCAAAGCATTCTGGTTACGGTTGATAAATCTAAAATTTTAACCTCTAGGTGAATTATTCTGGGGAAATCTAAATTTCAATCTTCAGACATTGATGAATTTTCATGCTGAAAATAATCCTCCAAAATCGTAAAACAAAGTCCAAAGTACTGTTTCCAATTAACCGTGGATATCAATACATTGAAATTGGTTGTAAAATGGAAACGTTACTTTTGACTTCATTTTAAGATTTTGGCGAATAATTTTTGGCACTACCACATTCAATGAACTATCTACAGACTGAAACTTAGTTTTCTGAAAGTAATGTACCCAAAGGTTGCCAAAGGTTAAAATTTGAGCTATACTGATCATACCCAGAATGCATTGCGCAAAAGCTTAAGACTGCCTTAACCCAGCAAAAGGACAATTAAATTGGACATGGTATTCCCAGTCCATTTCTCAGCCCTAGTTTGCCTCTGATGTCAAGTCATCTCAAGTTAGGAGTTAGGAGTGCAAACGGACAAGTAAACAAGGGGAACTTACCAAGCTGCTGCTTCCGATTGGACTGAATAAATTTTGTACAGTTAAAATTTTTGTTTGTTTTTGTTCTCTTTTTGAAATTTTGTTCTTTGGTCCATTGGGACAGTGTTTTTTGTTTTTTCCAATGCGCCCTGGAAGCACTCTTAAAATATTCCATAAAATCTGGTTTGGAGCCCGCGTAGACAGTGCGCGCTGGGAGGGCTGGGCAAGGCAAGTCGCACTCCTTTGCCTCCCTAGCCCTCCCGGTTTGCACTGTCAACGCGTGCTCAAAACTGCATTTTTCAGAATTTTTTTGGAGTGTTTCAAGTGCACATTGGGAAAAACCATAAAAACAACATTGTAATGGACATCCAAAGAAATCATACAAATTATTTCAGCCGAATCAGAGGCGGCAGCTTGGGAAGTTCCCCTTGTAAGAGTATGAACGAGTGCTTACAGTGCTAATCTCTGGAAATAGCAAATCAAGACAAAAGGTAGCCGAGCTCAAATGGATCAGGCTCCTAATAGCCACGTTGTTAACCATTGAGACATATACATCTGTTGTAATCTCAGTTTCTTTTACAAAATATCTCATACTAGTGTTGAAATTTCCAGAATGTTGAAATCTTATCTTTCACCTGTGCTTTGTTCCTTTTCAGAGTCAACTGCTCTTTCTACTTCAAGATAGGAGCTTGTAGACATGGCGATAGATGTTCCCGAATCCATAATAAACCGACTTTCAGTCAGGTAAAAGAATTACTTAGAGTACTCCATAGTTAAGTTATTTTGTACTATGCAAAGGAGCTTTCATTAGAATATTTTGCAGGGACAGGATTGCCATCTCGATCCTTTCAGAGTTTCTTTCCGATAACTTGTCCTTTTTTGCTATATGAGCAGTATAGAAAATTCCCGATTCTGGGTACTTACTCCCTATTACTACTCTACTCTATTACTATATATTCCCTACTCTATGCATATTCCCTACTCTATGCATATTCCCTACTCTATGCATATAGAGTAGGGAATATGCATAGTATTCCCTACTCTATGCATATAGGAAAGAAAGAGAACTTATCTGAAACGAGCCCTTCCACAGAATAACTGCCACCTCGTGCTTGGTTGGTGAGTTTTAGGCTTACATAAATGTTCCTCCACCTCTAACTTTTGATCGAGGAAGGCAAGTAAGATAGCTACAGATTTCTAGCCAAGATAAGTTCTTTTTGATTTAGAATATCTGAAGTAAGTTCTGAGCAAACTTTGACGAAATTTTTCCCGAAAGTACTTTTTTTTCTGAGACTTATGGGATGGTGAAATTTCCAAACCCTATGAATTGATCTTGGTGTTACACTTGGTGTTTCCAAACAAGATATAGACGGTGAAACTTCACAAATGTGTATCGTGGTTGCAGTGTTTCACAATCCCTACTCCAGTTTTATTTTTTAAAAAGAACCAACTTCATGGCTTAAAATTTTCACAGAATATTTTTGACATGGAGAAGAATTATCACCAAAGTTTACAAAATATGATATGCAGTAGTCTTTTTCGTAATAAAATAAGTAACAAAGGAATAAAGTAAAAAAAAGTAAATAAATAAATTATGACAGAAAGGTTGCAATCTGAGATACTTATTTTTGCAGTTTCACCATTGACATGTGGCTCAGGAATTTTACTGACCAAGCAGATCCCTCTTAACTCTCAGCTCTTCTTTTTTCAGACAATCTTGTTGCAAAACATGTATGCAAATCCTCAAAATTCAGCAAAATCGGCCGATGGATCTCATTGTGAGTATAAAATTGAAGAGAAGTATGGTATAACAAGAGCAGGTAAGGATAACAGCTGACTTGAATATTGAAGTTCAATTTAGCAACCATAATCATCTTAACGTCCGAACCGAAAGCAAATATTTTAATTCAACAGCCCAAGCAACATCACTTCCACATCAGAAACAAGTGTAGTCAAGAGCATCGAGAAACTCTTTTTCCATTTTTTCCCGTGACTTTTATTCAGCCATTTAAGTGGTAATTGCCAGCTGAATTGGCAGTGAGCTTGTAGAATTACCCAAATACCCACATACTTAATCATTAAAACTAATCTACACTGAGCCAACAGGAGTACAGCTCTTTCATTGAGCTCTGTATTCTTTCATTCCTCACAATGTTAGTGAGACGTGCCATCAGTTTTGCTTCATGTAATTCAAGATTTTTCTCTGCGTGCCAGTTAGCCAGACACACATTACAGCTAGCTGCATTACTGTCCAAGTGTCACATTCAGCGTTCCAAACTCACCTGAGTTTGAGGAGCCATCAGGCCCATATGCTCAATTCTTAGGGGCCTTCAAAAATGTTTAAGGAGCCTAATTGAATGTTTGTAATGTATCAAAGCATAAGACTTGTAGTACTGTGAGTGCAACCGCTCGCTTTGCAAAGTCAATCCAATGCCAATTCATAGAAAAGAACCGCTCAGAAAAATTAGGATTGTGGTAATTTTTAGAAGCTTTTTTGGCCAGAGTCTTTATCCTTTCAGGGTTATGACCGATTTTTTAGGAGCCTTTTGCTTAACGGTGCCTGTGGGTTTGAAACACTGAACGCGTTTCTGTCAAAAAAGGAAAAATAAATGAGAAATGTTTGGACGCAATATAGACTATTTTTATGTATATTTGGAGTTAAGTCTGAAAGTGGTGCTTGTTTCTGTTTGTCCTGATATGATATTCTGGATAATAGTAATTATCCCCCAGTGGTAGGTTCCCCCAGAAAAATTTGATTCTCAGGTGATCAGATGCATCATGAAGAAAAATTAAGGCTCTTTTTGTATTCAGAAACCAATATTCCTGTCCCTTATTCTTAAAGAAAGTTCATTAGTCTGGCAAGGTGCAGGAGAAGGTGTCATGCGTTACAATATACCTTGAAGCTGTGCATTTCCTTTATGCCTCTTTTATCAGACAGTCTTGTCATTGGCTGATTCAGCCATATTCACTCTCAGTGATGTGCTTTTGCTCATGGCGTTTATTGCACTTAAAATGCACACAAATTCCTTAACTATTCATGTCCTGATGGTGGATTTTTTTAGAATTTGTGTCTGTTGTGGTCGCCCATTGAGAACATGCTCACTTTCTAGGAGAAGAACAAACTCAGCTCTGCCGGCAGACTCACACAAAATTCAAAGGATTCAAAACTACTCTAGATTCTACTAGAGATTACTCATCAGACATTTTAATCCAGACTGCTTCAGTCATAATAAAGGCTTAAAAGGAATAGTTTTGTCAATAATCCCTTTTTTATTTTAATTTTAATTTGTTTACTTTTTTTTTATTTAAAGCTTCAATAAATACATTGAAAAAATAGTTTTTACTCCACACATCCTTTCAAGTATCTAGGTTAAAATGTCTTGAGCATGCTTTTGGCAGCAAATGATGAGAGAGGAGGAACAGAGTGAAATATTTCAAAGGGAATAGATTATTGAGTTTCCTCAAAACGCTGACAACTCAAACTGTGCCACTGGTCCTTTTTTACCGCAGTGAATGATATATTATTGGCAGTAAAAGCTATCTTCGCTGTAAACCTCAAGCGCTTAGTGTACAGTGCACTATTGCTGCGAAATTCACTCAGTTGGTGATCTGTACTATTCGTTTCTTGTTGCTGTTGAGGCTTGTCCTTGGTTCAGTAATGATTTTCTCTGTTCTGGCGATAGTAGTGTTTCAAATGGTGCAGCTGAAAGGAGGCTGGTTTGGTCATCTTAGGATGTGATTATGATCTGGATTGCACCTATACTCAGAACTTGTCAAAGAACCAGCTGTTATCCATTATCTGTCTTTTTACCGTTTTTCTGCTTCGTTTGGTAACTTTATTATTTTCTTAATGCTCCCCTCTCCACTAGTGAGTGATCTTGATTCCTTTCAAAACCACTTTCAAATCATCCAAGTATCTTTCATCTATCACCCCCAATTTCGTCAAATATCTCTTCATCCTGTTTCTGTGGCTTTATCTTATTTTATTTTTTTGATTTCTCTGTTCTCTCCTGTGCCACTCACCTTTCCATAAAACTTTTTCCTAGCTTCTTCTGCATGAATTATTGATAATTCTATTTTAATGACTCATGTGTTTTGCTTAAAATTTACACAGACAATTAGTGCAAGTTTTCTCTTAAAGACTTGCATCATAATTTTGCTCTTTCAAAACTGCCCAGACTGCTGAAATTTGCTTACTTGAATATTGCCATTAATTTGCAATGAGTACACATGTGTATATGTTTTTTACAATAATTTAATCTTTATGGATGTACAAATGGAAAAAGTTCAAGAAACATCCGTTTTTTTTCACATGCTAATCTAAGATAAATTTTTTTGATTAATTATCTTACACTGAATCAGATTGGTTATTGCTAGTAAAAATTCACCATAGTTTTCAGAAAAATTATGTAGGTATTGCATTTTTCCTTCGTACATAATTTCTGTTGACAAGACATTTTTCCAAAGTCCTAAGAAAGTAGGTATTTCTGTCATTCATATTTTGAAAAATCTTTACCCTTTGATCAAAAATCAACTCTTTGAAACGTTGGGTGGTCAAGAATTAGAAAGATAATATGATTAAACCGTTCCCCTCTGTTAGGTGAAAAATTGCTAACCACTTTTGAAGATAAATTAATCAACGGACTGCCGTTACTTACCAACTTATCAAGGAATGTAAATGACCATGTCTCCATAGAAATTCACAAATAATATGAAGTATTAATCTGTTCAGCACTATTAGTTTTTTTATTCTGGTCTGAATTCATCTTTCAATGTTTCAGTGGTCTCTAATGTGTCCGATGAAGAGATGCAGGAACATTATGACAACTTTTTCGAGGATGTCTTCGTTGAGTGTGAAGACAAAGTAAGTTACCCACCAAAACCTAACACTTACCTCGTTTAATATTTTAACTTTTTTCATTTTTGTTTTCTATTTCTCTTCGTCTAATCAATTTATTACAAATTTACAATGTAATTTTTCTTCAAATTGCGGTTTTACCAAGGCAATATTCGGAAAAAGATCGTAGACAGTAGTCAGGGGTTGCAACTGCTAATCTCAATTTTGTGGTTTTCACCGTCTCTTGCCTTCATGCAATTCAAAACTAGATCTGCTTTTGGAGAATTTATGTCTAAGTCCTCTCTTTAAATTCACCAGAATCATCCAACTGCATTTCTGTAGTGCTTCAGTTTTTTGACAGAAATTGAAGCAGCACAGCATCTTAAAACTGATTCTGAATTTTTCTTAACTTATTCAGAATGCATTAGAAATTTTCAACCAAGAAAGTTGCTCCATTTCTTTGTTAAAAACAAATAAAACATAAGAGGAAATTACACATTGTCTGGTCCTATTAGAAGTGGATAAAGAAAAAAATGGACAAGTGTCATTTTATCGTAAATGCATTAATCATAAGTTCGCCCTTTGGTTACCCATGAATTTATGCCGAATGATGCCATTTTCTGATTTGACGATTATCCAATCTTTTATTTTCCCAGTCCTTGCTCATTATCATAGGTGATTAGGTTGACATTGAGGTTGCTTTAATGTGTATTATTTTGTCAGTCAGCACAACCCCAGATGAAAGTGTAAATTAATTTATATTTCAACCTTCTTTTTGTCTTGAAATGATGTTCCAACCAACCTGCCTTAAAATATGCATTGTGTGTTTACAGTACGGAGAAATTGAAGAAATGAATGTATGTGACAACCTAGGCGATCATCTCGTCGGAAATGTATATATTAAAGTAAGTAAAGTTTCCAGCCAGAGCTCTGTTACTGCTTTATTTCTAATGAAATGTATGTGATGATTTTGATTTTCTGGTTTCACCATTCTAGAAGTTGATACCCCCCTAGGCCCTTGATTTAACTCATTTATGAGATTGAGGTCTCTCGGGAGACATCTTACGAAGTAAGGTGTATTTATACGGCCTACCAAGCCACGGCACAAACTTCATGAGATGAGCACAATTAGTGCTATTTCATGTTCTTAATAGTGCTTGATAAGTAGCCTAACGAGCTGTCTGAGCGTCGCTTTTGTTAACATAGCCGTAAAAAATTTGAGAGTAACCTCGGCTCAGGCACTTAGCAACTGCATTAAAGAATTGGATTCACTGATGGTGTGGTGCCCATGAGTAGAGACCCCAGAAATTTGTGCGAATTTTCAAAGTCGTTTTCAAGCACTTGGACCGAGCTCAGAGGCATCATGGAATTCTGTTGATTTCGAAAATGTCGATGAAAAATAATCTTTAACGGGTCCGGAGCTGCTGATCATTCCAGCGGACGGGATGCGGAAAACTTCGTAAAACTTTGGTTTCCGTCACCGACCAATCATAGATTTGAGCCTCATTTCGCAATAAACCACTGGCTTTGCCAACCACGTTTTTTAAATTTAAAATAAGAGATGAAAAGAAAACACATATTTTTAGCAAGAATTTGGCAGTTACTAGTGAGAATTTTTGAATTTTCAGTGAGAATTTTAGGATTTGTAGCAAGAATTTTTAGTTTCTCAGCAAGAATGCAAGAAATGGGGTAAAATTTTAGGAAAAATTAGGCAGTTTTTAGTAAGAATTTTGGGATTTTTAGCAAGAATTTGGGTCTTTATAAATCACAAGAAAATGGGGTCTCTACCCATGAGCCGAGTAGAAGCGTTCATATTATGAGGTATGTTGGGACTGCACTGCTGTGTTATGAAAGAGAATGGCAAAGTCAGATTTTAAAATCAAGTTTCCTTTAAAATTCCTCTAATCAATGTTAGATGAAATCACCAATTCAGTCAATACAGCAAAATTTGTCGTATTTTTTTTAAAAACGAGACCTGTGAGAAAGCCGTAAGTCTGCATAAGTTGACATCGTTTCAGACAAAACAGCCATAAGGGATACTATAGTCGTCTTTTTTTATGCCATCAGTCGCCGTCACTGCGCAATCATTCGTGTTTTGTTTCGTTGATGCCATCAGAAATGGGCGGAGCTTAGTTTGTCAAACTGAGCTAGACCATCAGTCACGTGACGCTTTGACGCCATCAGCCGCAATCACTCGTCACCCGAGTCCGGAGTGTCTCCATGGAGCACCATCAGTGAAACCTAACCTTTAACAATTTTTTAGTAGCGTAATCCAGTGATTGGATAGAGAAAAATGGGCGTAACCATCAGTCGCAATCACAGCGATGCCATCGGTAAGCGACCGACGACATAAAAAAAGACGACTTATTCTGCCGTGGAGCTGTAGTTATCGAGTAAAATGAGTGATAAAATTAAGTTTATATTAAAATATAAATCGAATCTATATTGAAGATTTGTTGTAGGTGGCATAGAACTGCGTCTGAGACATGAGGCTTGCAGATTAGGCACAAACAAAATTTTGTGAGCCTCTACTTAATTTTTACTAAGATATCGTTCCTAAAAAAAGTTCACTTTATCAACTTCTATTGTGCTTACCATAGTTTTTCATATATACGCACCCACACCTACCATGTATGCATCACAACCTACTTCTAATTTTTTTTTCTGCCTTGTGCTTTAATAGTTCAGACGTGAAGAAGATGCTGAGAAAGCGGTCGCTGATTTGAACAATCGCTGGTTTGGTGGTCGCCCTGTCTATGCTGAATTAAGTCCTGTCACAGATTTCCGTGAAGCTTGCTGTCGCCAATATGAAATGGGGTAAGACTGCTGCATAAATTATCCTAACTCTATGTTTGCAATACAGGGTGTCTCAAATCGAATAATGGAAACTTCAGGGACTATTCTGAAGACTAAAATAAGACTGTTTCGTTCCCGAAACTCTCTTTTTTTATGGCCTTCAAAGTTCCCCCAAAAGTTGATTTTTTAATATTTTAGCCCTCACTTCTCCAAAAAATCACATAAAATTGGGCTCTGAAAGGAAATTCATGTGCTTTGAGATAAGTGCTGGTCGTAATTTTATGACTCCTCAATTAAGGTTGCTCCGACCTCTGTAATCCCATTTTGTTTTCATTGACTGTATAGTGGAAGCTCTATTTTTACTCATCTTTATCATATTTTCATTGCATTCTTTTCTTTTAAATTTTCCAGTGAATGTACCAGGAGTGGATTCTGTAATTTTATGCACTTGAAACCCATCTCTCGTGAGCTAAGAAGGTTCTTGTACAGTCGTCACAGAAGGTCTAACAGAAACAGGTAATGTAAATTAAATTCTTTGAAAGTTTTGTGATAATTTCAATTTTTTCCGAAAACTTACTCCTTAATATCAGTGAATTAAATGTGTAAAACTACCCTCCTCAACAAGGCTTTCCAAAGATTCAGGAATGACCTAGAAAATAGGGGTTCCTGGAGTAAATTTTACGAGAAAACACGTTTCCAAATTATATACAGCTCCAAAGTGCTTTTTGGACTGGAAAAAAGAGGTTTAAGGTTAAAGTCTTTGAAAGAACATTTCTCATTCAGCCTGAAGCTTTTGAGTTCATTTGAAGTAACGACCCATGGTTTCATTTACTGCGAATCCAGTGCAACAAGGCTGCTGCACAAATCAAATTGAACAGAAGAATGAACAGAAGATTTCATTAAAAATTATCATTGACAAAAATACTCACTTTCTGGACAGATAATATTACGAGCACAATCGAGGAACATAATCTTTTGTTCCAATTGCGTTCTGGAAGTATATATGCAAACAAACCCGAATGAAAGAATACATGCCAGTTGATTCTTCTTTTGACATCATGTAATCTGTTGGCACGATATTTTTTCGATTGAAGCAGGCTTGGATTTGTGGCGTGTAAGTGGATGTGTTTAAAAGTCTTTTACTCAGCTTAAATTTGATTGAATGAAAAACGGCAAAATGCAGGTATTCCCATTTATTAGTTACTTTTTGAAAATTAATAATAATGATAATGGGGGGAAAAAAGAAAAAAAATATATTGTGCAATAGCCTGATTGCCTTTTTTTACAAAATGAACATCGCAGTGAGAAACGAAAAAAAAAAAAGAAACACTAGTCTTAAAAATTAACATCCAAGCCACTGTCAAATGATGTGAATCAGTAGAATTATCGTATTTACTATTTATACTAGTGTACCAGCACCTCAGGTTCTAACCTATCGCATCAAACAGGCTCTATGAAGAATTTACCTGTCGCTGTTGTGAAAAATTTTCTGTAACCAGGTATGCAGATAACTTGTAACAAACATCTGCTTTATTTCAGATCAAGCCGCAGTAGATCCAGAAGTCATGTTGGTTCCAGAAGAAGCCGCACGCCCAAGAAAAGTAGCAGCCATCGCCATGGCCGAAGTGGGCGCTATTAATCTTTTATCTTTTATTTTCATCTATTGACATCTTCCGTTTGGTATCTTAATTTTCATGTCATTTTACGCAATTAGTTCAATTCAGAAAATTTGTACCATTATATCATTCCTATTACATCAGAGCTTAAAGGTCAAGATTGAAGGTCAATCGTTGAATACTCTTCTTTCTTCAGCCCTGAAAGTTGTATCAAAGTCGAGTATCCTGCACAAAAGCAATGATAAGCAAGCCATCTAGAATTGTTGAACTTTTATCTGGCTGTTTTCATTCTTTCTAAATGAATTAGTTATGCTGCTTTGGCTCCGATAATTTCACTCTCTGTTTAAGTGCATGAAAAATAACTTTCTCAACCTTTTATAATTTGAATATTTTCAATTCTGTCAGACATATACATGTATTGTAAAAAATATTGTCAGCTTAAGAATCTAAGCTATCTTGAAAAATACAATACACTTAATTGGCCTCCAAGAAATGTAGTTTTAAATTATTTCTTTAGTTAAAGGTTCAAATGAACAAAAGTCTTAAGACCTCAAAGAAATTTTTTATTTCTTTTCGGGTGGTTCAAGTTTTTTCTTCTCTTTTCGATCCTTTTTTAAGCCAACTTTTGGCCCTCTAGTATTGCGTTATTACAAGAAATGTCCATAGAAAGGAACTACCTCCAGCTGGAGTTGACTAATGCGAAAAAGCCTGTCGCAAATAAACTCGTTTTGACTCGCAAATAGACCGCTTGACAAGGTTTTAATCAGAGGAAAAAATCACATGTTTTCTCTTCAATTACTTGAGCAGAAAAAGATTTTCAAAATGGGAGGTTCAGAAGTCAACTCCTGAACTATATATCAATAAGTCTCGTTAGCACAGTTTAAATTAATGTAAATAATAAAAATGATGCCATTTTTAACTGGATATGTAAAAAGGAACCTCATCTTTTGGGGGGAAATCTTCCTTAACTTCTTGCAAACACTTTATGGCATTTTTCTACAACCTGAGAATTTTTGTTTTGAAACTTTATGAGTAATATTCAAGGTTTCCAGATTTTCGTCCTTCGTGCATTCGCCAAAGGTAAGGAAAAATTTTCTCCTGGTAGATGCGGTCCCTTTTCACAGATTCAGTCACAATCGAACTTTTGCCATTTAAATGTTAATCGTTAACACTCATATCTTGTCTAGGAGTTGATTTCTAGACTTCTCATCATGTGATTTGTTTTCATCAAGTAATTTTGAAGGGAAAAAGCATGACATTCGGCTTCAATTTATACCTTCTCATTGGCTCATTGTATATTTTATTAATCTGCAATTCATTTTTTCAAATAAATAAAGGAAGTTAATCGAAGTCTATATAGTTTCCTTTGAAAATTACTTATCAAGGAACATTCTGGAAGATGACGAGCAAGGTTCAGAAAGCGCAGAATGGTATAAAATGTAAATTAAACAAAATAATAGGAGACAGAAAGTAAATTTATTACTCAATTCTCGTTTTTAAAGTATGTTCTTTTTTTTACAATATGAATTTAGAAAAAAGACCGATGAATTCTTTACAAAATGGACAAAGTACTTTCATATTCAAGTAAAAAATTTTGTTTGACGCATGAGTATTTCAATATTTCTAATGCGTTAAAAATGAAGATCCCTCTCTTTTCAGATGGATAAGTTTAAGTATGTACATAATCAAACAATAGTAAAAAAAAGTTTACAAAAACTAAGGGTGCACTACAACATAGAAAATCAGTACAAAAAGATCTTGTTTAAAAAAGAGTGGTGTGTTCAATTTTAATTCTATGTAATTGTTTTGAATTTTTAATTTTGAGCATTTGTTCTTTATCATACAACACAATTTCAAATTTTACGCTTACTTCTTAGTCACTCATGCGTATTGAATGATATGATGAGTAGAGTGGCAGTACAATGAAAATTTAGGAAATCACAAATAAGCATTTCAGCACTGCTGCCGACAGCATTTCTACATCAGAAATATAGAAACATTAACAATGAGGCTCCAAGTCATTCACATGAATGAATTTCTAAACAGGAACCTTTTTATCTTATTTAATCATAATTATTTTATCATCATCGACGTAGAAAAACGTAAGTATTTCCAACAAAAACAAGAGAGGAGTGAGAAACCATTGAGTAAAATGAGCAAGGATTGATTGCTGGGAAGAAATGAATTGCTGTCGATTTGTTCAATGCCAGACCGGCAGTGAGTGGCAAAAATGGTTTTTACCATTCACAGATAGCCATGGGTATTATTCTTTCTAGGGCAAGAGAGTCCAGTAAGCTCTTCGGTTATAGTGTCTGCAATGGTTCAGCAATTGTTGTGAGCATAACTGAAATAAGGCCTTAGCATTGCTAAAACTAACAGTAATTTTTCTGAATCAGTATTTTGAGTATGCTTAAGTAGGCTGGCCAAAACACCAGTGAACATCAGATGACGATGAATGACTACATGAGGTTTTTGTTTTCTTGTCACCAAAGACAGAATTGAAAGATTATCTTTAATATGCCGATTATATAACAGAAAAACAGAGTTGAAACAACATGAAGCGATGATGAGTCTGCAGCATTTCAATCAATGGCTGAAAAGAAGAACTATAATTATTTACAAGATTTGCTTTTTTAGTTACATTTTATAACTGCTACATTACTGAAAGGAATTCCTGAAAAATGCCTAATTATAGGAAGTGAGTAATGATTTGAAGCAAAATATACTTCTTTACACACACTTTAAAACATGGAGAGCATGTAAATCCTTAATTGTATTGAATTTGAAGCATGATCCTAACTCTATTAGCTCATAATCTCATTTTTGTTAGTTCCTCAAAAAAGAGAAAGTACAGGGTTTACAGTGGTCTAGAAAACCTAGAAGGTTGGAGAATTTTTTGGAAAAGTCAGGGAATTTTGCAAGGAGTACGTCAGCTCAGAAACCTCGACCAATGCCATTCATGAGATTATTAACAATTTCTGAGTGCTTTTGTCCATAATTTGAATATCCAGATGTGGCACATTAATCTAAAGTTCAACAGACATCAGCATGTATAAAAGAAAACAAGATTAAAGGTAGTTTAGTGCAACGATTAGGAAAAGTAAGGAATTTGAAAATTTTGGAGTCTGAGGAAAGATATAGAGGTCAAAAGAAAAACGAGGAATTGAAAAAAGAGAAAATTTTGTAACCCGAAAGTACATATGATTATAATTTCGGGTTTTCCCCACGTTTACAAGCACATATTTTTCATTAGCATATTATTAAAATGAAAAAAAAAATACATTCATAAAATCTGAGAAAATGAGTAAATATAACGGATATTTGAACAAGTTGTGTGCAGACCCATCAAAGGCAGGGGGAGGGAAGAAAAAAGCTAGGAGAGGGAGAGAAAAAGAAAAGGAAAAAAAATGTTGATATTAAAAAGTACTATCACAATTTTTAGGTAAAAAAAAAATAAATAAAAACAGTCATGAAATATTTTTGAGATAAATCAGACGCACGTTAGTTTTACATATTTACATTTTTACACAGATTACAGGAAATACATTATTTACATAATTCAACAAATAACTGAGCAAATCTTGCTCTAGGAAACAATTTGACGGATCAGCAAAATTTCAATTCAAAGGTAAAGGTTGAACAATTTTGTTTTAATTCAATGCACAGAATGCCTCTATGATACTATATATACTTGAGGAGCTTCTGCCACAAGCTGGTACCTATTTACAATTTTGCATCCAGTAATCCAGCTATCTTTTTTGAGAAAACATCAATGATTTTCTCTAATACTTGGATTATTTTAGGAAAGTTGCTTCTAGGCTTTTAAAACAGGTTGACTAAAGACTATTTGACCATTTGTGGTGTTCACCGATCATTAAAATGTGCATCTATCTGCCAGAGGTAAAAAGCCTCCTGTCCAAAGTTGCAGATGTACTTAAAATGGCTTAGGCTTTTTCCTGCATTGCTGTCTTGTCCTTTCACATTAAGAATTTTCAAGAATGCAATGAGCACAGCAAAAAAATGTAATACTGTAGTGAACAAACAAATTAAAATCCTTTGAATTGAAATTTTACAGATTACCTTAACAAGTAATGAGAAGAAAAACAAAAAACGTGTAATGACAAAAAATAGAAAGTGAATGAAAAGTGAACAAGGGTCAAAACTTTTCAAAAAAATTTCAACCTCAAAACATAACAACACTGTGCGTAGAAGAATCTCAGTTGTGTCTGTCTTGCAGGGTTCTTTTTTCTTAAATATGTGTAGAAATTGAAAATGATTTGCCTAAGGAACAAAAATATGAGAGAGGAGAAGTCGAACACTGCCATCCAAATTCAGGAAATTTCTTTTTTGGCCAAAGTAGCACCAACTTCCAAAGAAAAAATTGAGTCTTAAATCAATTTCTACCTACTACGGGTGGATCTTAAATGAAAAACAACTAGGAATGGATGTAGTTAAATTTCGCATCAAACTGATATGACAGTGTTTTTTCATTTTCATAATACGAAAATTCATCTGGATAAGGAGGTTCGTTTTTGAAAAGATCTGATAGTTCTAGGTCTAGGAGTAATTTTTTTGAACTTTCAATGTAGAATAATTTTGATTTACAAATGGGCTCTTGCAGCACCTCTGTCAGAAGACATGACTAATAAATAAGGCATAGTTTTTTCAAGACTGACCTCATTTAGACAATTAAAGAGATAGAACATACACAATATTCTTCATCCTAAAAATTCTCTGCATATGAACAGGATACTCAATTTAACATATTTTACGGAGGATCATTATGCGAAAATACTAACACGAGAATCTAGTTTAGAATAAGATTTTAGTAAAATCTCAACCATGAAAACAATTAAAAGTAAGAGGACCATTATCGATCGGAAAAATTTAAAAATAAATCGATCATTTTATGATATCTAATCATTGTAGGAATCCAAAAATGATAAATCAAAAATTAATTTTATCTCTAACTATGATATCAATTCATCACAATTTCAGTATGAAAAAAAATGAGCAATATCATTTATTATTTCATCCTCTGGAAGAAATTGAATTGAAATCAAATACCTGAGTTTCTGTGAGATATTGATCTAAAAATCTATGCCATCACACTATCTACCTCTTGAGGATTATCTGAATGATGAGAGAGCATCTTTCATTTGGAGATAAATAAAAGAGTAACTTTCATGAGGTGCGTACGTTGCTAGCTTAAGCTATTTCAGTCACAGATAATTTTTCGGATTCTTCTCGGAACTCATCTCTTTCTCAATCTAAATGTCTTTCCAAAAGCTCTGGGATTCTGCATAGAAAATAAGAAAGACAACACAAGGGGGTATTGCTATGATAAAAATTGGTAAAAAATTTCATTTACCTTAAAATAGAAACCTATTGGTAATCGGTCCAAAATGTTTACGGATCATTACGATAACTAAATCGTACAGTTCATTTTCTCGACTAAAGTATAGTTGCTCTGCTGGCACGATAGAAAGACAGTTGCATTATTTTATTGAACTCGGTTCCCTTCGGCATATAAACAAGAAGACTCACTACAAGAGCAGCATGTATCACTATTATCACTACAACTTCCTCTTCTTCCATCTTCGCAGCTGCAGCTGCTACGCCATCTATCACACTCGCGGCTTGATGTATAATGATGGCGTGAGGAGGGAGCAAGACTAGGTAACGAGGACTGTACACTTCTATCTGTGGCACGATTTTCATCGTGTTTATGACTATTTTTTCCATACAAAAGAGATGCACTTTCGTAGTCGGATTCGGCAGCTATTTGATGATTACTTTCACAACGTCTTCGTCCAGAGTTGTGACAGTGATTTGAACCACAGCTATTTACAGAATTAGAAAAATTCACTGGAAAACACGGCACCTGTAACGAAAAGTAGAAGTAACATTAGATAAAATCCGAAGTATACAATACATTCCTAGACAATATTAGTGGAGGCAATTTGTAGAAAATGTGAGCAACGAAGAGCTTCAAAAATACCTTTAAAATTTTGTCACTTTCAAAACTTCCATTCAAGCTGGAGAGTCTCCCTGATGTGAGACAAAATTTCCTGACCTAGCAGCAATTCAAAGTTTGTGAAGAATGGGAATCCTAATTCAAAAAAATTTTAGGAATTGGGAATTTTTCTTGACTTGAGTTTTGTTAGGTATCCCAGATGAAATTTGATTCGACAGGCTTTTCAAAAATGTGCACATTCTTCTCCTTCCATTCACATGAACACTATCCCAACCATTTCTGTGTCAGCCTCCAACAAGTCAGCGTAAAGGCTTAAACTCCTCCAATAGGACGTAGAACGCCGATATCAGCAAGTTAGACATAAGCATGGTCGCAGCTTCTCTCTCCTCCTTATAGTTAAATGAAAGCATCCTACAATAAGTGTCTAAGTTCATGACTTTTAATCGAAACTAAAGGGTGAAAAATTGAAGATATTTGTTGCTAAAATAGTATAGTGACTTACAGGAGGAGGATGTTCGTCTGGTGGAGGTGGATTCGAACCAATCCACGATGGTGCATATCCATTGCAACTACTTCCACTCCTTAAAGGTGGAGTTGGTGTATTGGCTAGATTGCAGGCGCTCCTCTTTGACATTTGAGGACTTGAACAAATGACTCCCTGGAACAAGTATCATTGGTGGAAATTAAGAAAAAAATGATCTCTCACTCGTGATCACTATGAAATAGCTTACCTAGTAAATAATAGAGTGAAGGGTACCCCCTAGTCTGACACAAAAATTTAGTTCTTCAGTAGGCGCATTTTCTGTCGGTACGGTAAGAAGTCAGTTTTACCTTTTGAAATGAATTTCTTTTTGAAACTGAATTAATTGTTAAGATGTGTACACATCCATCTTCTTCTTTCTCTTTTTTTACTGGAACCCAAGTTTAGAAATTGAAAAGCACCATTTTGTTTTTTTTTGTTTTTTTTTTTTTTTTACTAATTTGAAACCATTTACTGTAGGTACATTAAAAAATTCAGAAATAAATATGAGTGCTATGATCAGTCAGAGAAATAAAATTACTGCTCTGACATTATTTCATGAAATACATATATTGTAACTACAACACTTAATGAACAGTATGAAATATTGTGATGTGAACAGACGAAGACTTACTTGAGGATAACCTCTCGGCGAGTCTCTATGAGGAGGAGGATGATTAGGAGGAGGTGGTAAAAATTCACTCCAATTCGGCGCTGGATATGAACCTGATCCTGAACTGGCTGTATTGGAGGTATACTTTCGCTGAGATGAATGTGAGTGCCGTTGTCGGTACTCGTCTGAAAAATCAAAATGAAGAATTAATGTAATTGAAGAAAATTGAACAAGTCAACAGTTAATATCAGCGAAACTTTTTATTTTCTCAGCCTTGAAAATTTACGCTCTCTTTTTGACAATCCATGTGAAAAGAGACTTTAATACTCAAATTTGAAAGATAAGCAATAATTGGAAAATTAAAGTTTTGATTCCGTTTTGCTACATCAAGTTTCATTTGAATGTATTTGTTTGGTATTTTGATCTTGAGGTGACTTTGAGACTTCGTATAAATTTGAAAATTATATTTTTTCAAATTTTTTTCTTTTTTTTTTTGGCGAATCCAAAAAGTTTGTTCCATAAAGACATATGAGAATGCTTACCAATATACAACTGATTTAAATCATTCCCACTTCGCATTTGTGCATTGAGCTCTCTACAAGATTGTTCATTTTTGCAAGAGGAATCGTTGGAACTCAATGTTTTAGTTTCTGATGAGCTGCTGGCCCCGAACATTAACCCACTGTCCTATAAGATGAAATAAAGAACAAAAATTGTTACTACACACAACGTGTTAAACAGTACATAATTTTAATGCATTGATTTACAAAGAAAAAGTTATAACATGGCTTTTAAAATTACCGAACAGTGCAGAATAAAAACTAATTTTAAAAATAGATTTAGGTATATGAACTCATGTTCAAATGTAAAAAAAAAAGCTCGCAATAAATAAAAGAGGCACACTATATAATACAGAGAATAAAAGAAAAAGCTTTTCTTCAATGAAAAGTAGGCCACTAAAGACAATAATAGACTAATAGACAAGCTAAAAATTTAAGCATTCAAATACACGTTCTCTCTTCAAAATTTCACTTAGAAAACAATTCGCATAACGAAAATTACTGAAAGTAACTCCTAATCAAAAAATTTTAGTAAGTTCTTATTAAGCACTGGTTACTTAAAATTTGAATTTCCTGCTGACTGGAAAACCAGAGTCTACGTGAATCAAATCATACTCTATAACGGTTTAGGCAGGCTACTTAATTGAGCATTGTCCCTGCCTACCCTGCGTTTTTCAAAGTGTTACCAACATGCAACAGCTGAGTCGAAACACAGAGTGTAAGCTTGCCACACTTTAACACCGCAGAGACTGCGTTAGGGTGACATTTAGTGTGCAATTCAACTCAATTAGATTATTGTTTTTTTAGAAGCAGGACATTTAAATTCAAGTATAAAAAAACACAATAGAAAACAAGAAAAAGAGCAGCAGCGGAAGATTTGGTAAACTTACGAGGCATTCCTCACTCCTGTTATTGTTTGGAGCAAGTAGAGTTGTTGTTGCGTACGGAGTGGGGTTTCCAGGCTGACTGTACTCTTTTCTAGGGTTGTAAAAAGTGGACAAATTTCTTGTATCTACTTCTGCGTAGTCACTGCATTCTTTTATTTGACCTGTGTTTAATAATTTTGTCTCCGTTTCTTTATCACCTCCTCCTCGCCAACCGTGATCAATCCATAGGGTCTCTTTGCCACTTGTCATGAGTCCCATTCCCATGCCGCCCATTAAACTGAGATCATTGGCATTGACAACAGGAACTGTGGATGACATGAAAAATAGATACATGAAAGAATTAAAACACAAAAATAAAATAAATAAAACATGATTCCTGGACGACGTAGAATGCTCTAGTATTAAATACATTTTGAAATCGATATGACTTTGAGTTTGGAAATATCATGTATAGGCACTGAGTCAATGCCTAACACTATTTACAAATTATGCTATAAGAATTGAAACTAAGCACTATTTTTTTCTCTTTTTTTTTTAAACCGTACAATATGATAATATTTCATTTTGATCATGTCATGATGAGAAAGACCAAAATTTGAGATAACTCTGTCAAGAATTTGAGGAGAAAAAAAAACCATGAAGTCCAAAACATTACTAAATCAACAGGAGGATGAAAAATTTTTACCACTAACAAATTTATGTCTTCAATGGATTCGAAAGATTGTGAGAACATGCATTTTATTACACTTGTAAGCATTTGATTGATACCAGTTGATCCATTAGAGCCAGGCTGGTACTACAAGTTTCATATTATGATGAAATAAGAACCATTAGTTACTCCAGAAATTGAATATGCTCTAATGAACAAGTTAATATTGAAACCTTCTTGAAATATGTTGCTCCCTCTCTCTTGAGTATGGAGTCTGTTCTCACTCTTTTTGCAAAAAACCTGTTAGGTAAGTAATTTTGATACCAAGATTTCTTCAACACCCTCTGCCAAGATTTCTTACACATGTGTGCTGGGATGATGATACTTCGTAGATAAATGAATTACAGCTCACAAAAAAGAAATACTCACCACTAAGATGGCCAAGTTCTTTTCCAGGTGTTTGTCGCTTTTTCAAGTAAAAGACAGCAAAGAATCCAGATAAAACCGTGCATAAAAGAGCAGCAAGGAGTACAAGGAACCAGGTTTCATTGACTGTCTCCCCTACATACGCCTTTGGTGGTTGATGGGGGTCCATTAGAAGTGGCACAGGGGTTGAGTAAGGGCCCTGTCCAACACGGGTGTAAGCGACGACTCTGATCATGTAGGAACCACCTGTGGTTAAGTTGGTCAACTGCACCGAGGTCGTCGAGGAATTCAGAGTCATCTGTGCCAGAATCTTACTATTATTTGTCCCTTTCACTTGAATCTAATAAAAAAGAATAACAATTCAAGAGATAAGATTCAATGGACTCTCACAATAAATGTTGCCTTTGTTTATGTGAGAGAAAATTAAGAAAAACTCAGTCAGAGTCATTTAAAGTTCTTTAAATTACCACAATATTTACTTAGTGGTTTTGCTCTAAATTTTAAAAAAAGAGGAATATTATGAAGAGACGATTCACCGATTCTAAACAATATACCTTGTTCAAATTAATCTGATTTAAAAAAATCTAAAATTTCAAAGCATTCATTGGATTAAAACACTAGAATTATGCTCTTAATATCTAATATGTGAATATGAATCACGGACAGTAGATCTACGAAAAAAAGGTCTACTCAAAAAATGTCTATATTTTTTGGTCTACAGTCTAAATGTCTACAATTAAGAAGTCTACTTTTAGAATGCTAACAAAAGTAAATGTCTACATACAACGCGTCTATATTAAAGGAAAATGAATACACGGAGATTATTCTCCATAGATACAACCAAAGAAGTAACTGATGTGAGTTCACTCTACCTTTTATATTCAGAAGTGAACTTTGTGAGCATGGACTTTTATTTAGAAGACATTATTATTTGTAGACATTTTTTTAGCGGACTTTTTAGTTCTAGACATTGTAAATGTAAACCAAAAATGTAAATAAAATATTGTGCAAAAATGTAGACTTTCTGCTTGTGGAAATTTTTGCTGTAGACCTTCTGTCTGCATACCGTGAATATAAACTAATTCAGCAGCCACTATTTATACCATCTGCTTCTTAACTGGTCAAACTTTCATGTGCATAAACTGATCTAATTTTTATTCTAGAGATTTTTAATGTATTTTCCGAAGAAAATAAACTATTTTATTCCTGTTTTGTCCAAAAATGTACCTTGTATCCGACGAGCATCCCATTGTGATGTTGCGGAGGAGGAGCTGCCCAGCGAACATACGCAGATGTCATATTCAGCATTCCAACTTGCACATTATCGGGTGGAGCTGATGGAACTGAAAATAAATTTTAAAAAATTTTTGAAATGAGAGATTTAATACAGTTAAGTAGGTACACAGATTTATATTTTATTTCCAATTTTTTAATTATTTCTTTTTACCAAATGCGCAATTCATTTAAAAGATGGATAGTATTTAAAAATTAATCCAAAATTTTATCAGAAATTCTTACCCCCATAAGAGAATAAAGAGAAAAAATAGTACACTCCCGTCCGGCAACGGCCAAAAATATCATTGCCACAACGTTGCTGCAACGTTGCCGCAACATTATTTTTGGCAGTTACATTGTGACAACATTTCCGCATCTACTTCAGGCAACCACTTGCCGGGCGGGCTGCACCAACATTTATCTAATCCATCAATGTATTCATAGAAAAATTAGGTCCCAACTTCAGATGATAATGTTCAAGACAAAGAGCAGTGCAAAAAAAAAAAAAAAATATTACAAAAGAATTGAGGGAAGCACTAACTAAAATTAGCACAAAATTTACTTACCATCTTCAAGAGTCTGGACAAGCATTGAGTTGCTTGGCTGCCCCTCTACTGATTTGTAAAAAGGCACCAGGAAGAATTCGTACTTGGTGAATTTTCGTAAATTGCTCACGGTATAGTTTGTGGCCTCTGCAGTCATCACTGTGGCGAGATTATACTTTTGGGAGCCTCCAGATAAATCTCGAAATCTCAAATATACTCCCTCCATGAATTCTGCGCCAGTGCTAGACACAACCTGAAAAAATTGTGGGAATCATTGATTTAGGTATGTCATTTTCTTAAAAATAGGTACAAATTCATAAGAACAGAAACAAGAAAAAAACACACACCTTGCTCTTCCTGCAAAATGGTATGGACCCAACACTATTTTACCACCTTGTTATAAACAGAAATATTCGGACATTTTTCTGAAATACTTACAGCTTAAGTACAAACCATATTTTAACCCTCTATGGGTCACAGCGTTACGAATTGGTAACAACGTATTTTCGGGGTTTTTAAAAATTGAATCTTTCCCCTGTGCCATGATTTTGCAAATTTTCATTGGTTTTTTTCTTTCTTCGAAAAATTGATTCCATTAACTTCAAAATTTGGTACTCTATTTTTTTATGCTAGCTACAAAATAGATTAGTGTCCCCTAGAACCTGAGATCCAAAATTAATTCTAGCCATAGAGGGTTAATTAAACGTTGTGGCAACGTTTTTGCATGTACTAAGTCCATTGGGAAATTGACTAATTTTTCAAGTGAATGAAATTACGCTACTATAGGTACTATCATGGGTGAGAAAAATGTTGCAACAATAATAACTTACCTCCCACACTACCCTAACAGACGTGGAGGCAGCGGGAATGAGCTCTTTCAAAGCCAAGACTTTGGTTCCCAATCTTGATCTGGCTTCATCCAATAAATGTTGCGGAACTACAGTATTAAGTCCCAATGTCCGGACTCCCTCAGAGATTTCACTCGGCACACTAAGTCCATGGGAATTTTCTGCCCTCACGATAAACATGTACATTGTATCTGGCTTTAAATCATTGATCTGAAAGTCGCAAGAAAAAACCACAATAATTAAATAGGTAACTTATTTACTTCAGGCTAAACATAATTTAAAGAAAACTACATTACAAACCTTTAAAATTGCAATAGTGTATTTCCTTCGAAAATATACTAATATTCATTTTTAAAAAATTGGCAACAATGCCTTGCACAGCAGAATTAATTACTTATGAGATAAGCAAACTGCCAGCTATTAGTGGCTGTCCCCACAGCAAGTTCTTCTACATTTGGGCACTGCACTCTGCCGTGCTGAAGGTGAATGCTGCAAGTCTCCACCACTCAGAGTAAAAGATTCCTGTTTTAACCCTCTAAACTATTATTAGGCCCCTGTAATTTCCAGATGCGTATAGGGGCAAAATTTCAAATTGGCAATTATATTCATGGAGTCAGCCGAGTTTTTTTAAGCCATCTTGCTACATCATACATTTTGTATTGGATCGGATTATCAGCAGATCCTGAATGGTATGTTCCAGCACCAACACAGGCTTCGTCATCTTGCACCTACCAACAGAGCTGAGCTTCAATGCAATTTCTGGAAACATTAAAGATTTCCTAGATTGGATCAAGAATTTGACTTCTCAAATGAATGATGTCATCATGGAAAAAAATAAAATTACCAACAATCAAAATATATACGCCTTCAAGGGAGACTTACAGTAATTGATTCAGTCGTTATTCTATGGGCAGCAACAACCCATCCTGTTTGAAGATCAGAGGAAAAATACTCGAGAGTATAGCCTATGAGAGCTGAAGCACCCTGTTGTTTGGGCGACGGGTCCCATGCAACAGTTATGCTTGATTTGGTGACATTCAATATTTTTGGCGTCCCTGGAGGACTTGGAAAGGTTGATGGATCTGGGGTTCGATGAAGATGTGGCCCTGGAGTTTTCTCAACACTCAAACTTGCAGACCAAGAGGTTTCCCCACTTTCAGACGAAGCAGTACATGTGTACAAACCCGAGTCACCTGGCTCCAAATCTGAAAAAAAAGTAAGATTTGAGTAATAATTAAGGATAGTTGATCCCCACTAGGTGCTCAATAGATTAAAACTATTTTCAAAAGAACACTGACTTAAAAAGTTTAAAAAAGTATACCTATTAATGAAAAGCAGCAAGACATCTAAAATTTAAATTGCAACACTTCACGATTTCCCCTCAGTATAACATTTTTTCAAAATAGAATTTATCATTATTAATCATTAAGATATCTCATACTTTATGTAAGCACATTACAGTATTACACTGCTATGCTAAGAAAAAACGCTACGAGAAAATTCGGCCTTCGACAGATTTCTCTCAATAAAAACTATATTTTAAAGGCAACCTATGAATATTTATACCTGATATTTTTAGAATCATTAGATAACATTGCAAATAAGATTCCCTGGGAAATGAGAAAAATATTCAAAATTTTCTCAGGGAATTTGTGTAATACCAAAAAAAATTTTGCAATGTTAAAATGCCCTTATGGTGTGATTCCTTAGTTAGACAGGCAGAACAATTTTGAGATAAGAACTCGCGTGGTGGTATACCCGGCACGATTCGCACGCGGATCAAATAAAAACTAGATTCTATACACGTCTTGTCCAACCATTGAATCGAATAGATTGATCTGAAAACTACTTACTGTCTATTTGTAAAGTGCCTGTTGATGATATGCTGACTCTGGAAGATGCTGAAACTGAGCTTCCATCTTTGTACCACCGAATTTGAGGTGGAGGAGTTCCTCTTGCTTGACATGGTAAAGTAGCGACGGACTGAAGAGGAAGAGTCTGATTTGATGGCCCAATTTCAACGATTGGCGGTGGAACATCCTCCACAGACGTTACCTACAAAGAGTAATAATATTACGATTAAAATAGATCGATTGAAAGACCTATTACAAAAAATATAATGAGCAGCTAAGCGGTGAGGAAGTGCGAGACAAAATACCATTATGCTTCTTTATAAAAAAAGAGTCAGATAGTTTTTAAAGGATGGAAACTTAGGTGATTTGTTTTGTTGTTTAAGTTCTGACTAAAGACTTTGATTCACTTTGGAGCTAAACGGTTGTGTAGCACAATTTCAGTCTACACTTGAATACCCAAAACTATTTTTATAAATGAGTCAAATTGACCCATTCTTAAATCCACCAAATGAAGGACAAACGGAGCCAACACAATATGGAATTAGAGCGATGGAAAGAGTGCGCGTTGATGACGGCGCAGAGATACAACTATTCGTGCTTGATGGATATCCGTGTTGCATCTGCAAAATTGAAGGCGCGATGGCGCGAGGCGTGATCTTGCAATGCTCCCTACTATGCTGCCAATGAAGTATGGCTCCGATTCGGAGGAGGAGGATGAGGAGGAGGAGGAGGAGAAGTTAATAAAAAATGAGGCCCGAATACGTCTCTCCTATCTTCGGCTGTGTTGACACTTCATTCTTTCTTTCTGTTCAAATTTTGTCTAAGACTCTTAAGTGCCGGCCCCATAAAACCCGTAGGACACGTGTTTTTAGAAAGTCTCAAGTTCATTTGACCCTGCTTAGGCATACAAGGGTTAAGGCAAGTTAGTTTACTTATTTCTATTGATTTTGATAGAAAAAGAGGGACTCAGACCAGTTCAATAATTTCAATGGTTTTTATTATCTGGTGTTATTAACAATTGTTACTACTAGGGCTCGCACCTGATGGAAACTTTAAGGCATCAAAGGAATGCATGAGGAAACTTACCTGTAAAAAAGCTCTGGCTGTGGTAGAGCCAGCAACACTAAGAGCTGAACAAACGAGAAATCCAGCATCTTCTTTTTGAACTCCTTGAATTCTCAAAGTGCCATCAGAGGACACAAGCATGTGACCATATGAATTCCCTGGAAACATCAACAGTTGGGAACCCTCTTTTGTCCAGAAAACAGAGGGTGGAGGATTGCCGGAAGCCAGACATTCGAAGTTCACTATTCCATTGAGACCTACTTTCTGATCTTGAGGTGATTTTTTGAATGTTGGAGGTGCTGAAAAAGTACACAAGATAGATTAATTAAAGAGGCAGGTGGGGCATTTGGATTTTTGTGACTTATTATATCAAACTATTTGTGTTTAACACATGCATGATTCTGTCAAGCTTGGCTATTTACAGCCCGGAAACTTTCATGTCTGGACTATATTGATGGCCAAAGTGCACAACCACTTATCTCCAGTGTAATGTTTTAAAATTTGCGCACCTAACTTCATTTACACGAATATGAACAAAGCAACTTCATAACTTGAAATTGGATTAGAATACTGTGCTGCGGACAAAGGCGAAAAATCAAGGCAGTGGTTTGCGAGAATTTACGTTGACTTGCTTTTCAAAAAAAGAATTAAGCACAAAAGGAAGTCTGCAACGTTGCTATCGGAGATACGTAGTTTCGCGCTTATTTAGCTACCGATATATCTCTCATGATTCTGGAGACTTCACTTACTCTTATTGTCTTTAATAACGAGTTTCTAGCGTCTGAAAAATCCGTGTAGTTCTAAAAGAAGTGCGGACATGGTGTTAACCGCATGTAAAATAACAGAGGACAATTGGTACGTTTATGTGTATTTTTTTTCATCATTTTCAATGACAGTATCCATACAGAGTGAGCAAAAACTTAACGGCAGTAACAAGTTGAAAAACGCCGACTCCGCGAGCTCAACTAATCGCGCCTAACACACGAAAAGCAGTTTAGCGCCTACAAGAGCGCAGGAATACTTCACGCATTGCGCCTAACGCAGTGCGCGGTCGCTGGTCGGAGCCAAGCCCACATTAGCGCCTTCGAGACTGTAGGGATACTGCACGCATTGCACGTTCACTACGGTGCAATACGGGCGAGGTTCGACGCTTTCGGTGCCGAACCTACCGCGGTGCAGACAATTTACGATCGAGACAATTTAAACTCAATCTAATTGTCCTGATAACTTAATGTAATGGCGAATTGAACTCACAATGTACGATGAGAGGAGCACTGGCTGAAATGGTTCCGACGAGGTTTTCTGCGCTGCACACGTAGACCCCCTCATCTGCGGGTGTAACACTCTCGATTCGAAGGGATTTGTCATCCAGAGTCTTGGCTTTCCCCATGGTTTTCTTAGCGTCGTCTCGGTACCACAGCACGTTGGGTGTTGGTTCTCCGCTCACTTTGCATTCGAATTCCACGCTTTGTCCGGCTAACACCGTCGCCTCTCTAGGCTCGCCAATGAAATACGGCTTCACTGAAATCGTGGAAAAAAATCGAATGTCATTATACCTCTTGAAGCCCGTTGGAAATCAGGAAAAACTAGGAGGTTGAAATTCACCATTTAAAGAGATATAAAAATGTGTCTGTAAAGAGAGGCTCCTAGATCTGAGAGGAATGGGGAGAGGAGAGGGAGATTTAGAGGGGGAGGGGGGCAATTCATGGGTGGAACGAGAATTTGGGACCATGGTTATAGAAGACGAAGTATGAAAATCATAAAATTTTTCAAAAAGCAGAGAAAAAAGTGTCGCAGATTTCAAATAACAATATATTCTCAATGCGGGCCTCGCAGGCCCTGGCTAGTCATTCTGGGGGTAGATATGAAAAATAAATTGCAGTGCCTAAAAAAAATCAATTTTTTCTTCCTTTTTTTCGAGAATGATGTTTTTAAGGGTTTTTGCAAAGCAATTTGTGAAGGACAGACTTCACGGTCAATTACAGCCGCTGTGGCGCTAAAAATAAAAAGCCGCTGGGCCTCCTAGACCCGGTTAGTCATCTAAGGGTTGAACAAAAGTATTCATTATTCTCCCCCCTCATGACCTCCGACCACTTTTCTTGATCGATAGGTTTTGAAATTCATGGCAGCGTCGGATTCTTGGATATAAAGAGGACATCCGATATCAACGCAGACACACGTAGGGATGGATTTATTACTCAAGATAAATTAAAAGAGGAGATGCTTCTGTACAGTATGGAGCGAGGAACTAACTTTAATTGTACCTACTTGGAAAATCGTTCTTCTTTTATACGACGAGATTTACGGGGAAATCAAGGCAGAACCTGCTCTTGATTAAAAATAAAAGCTTCCTGAGCTATCTTCCATTAATCTCTTGAAGTCTTTCTCAGGCACACGCCAAGAAAAAAAAATTGGCGATCGAACCTTTAGATGTTTTGAGGTGGTCTATGACGCACAAATATTGAACAGGACTTGTGTATACGAGGTAAACATAGTTTGAATAAAATACTTTCGCGAGTAAAACTGGCGAAATCAATTCTTAAATTTTCTTTACCTTAAAAGACAACTCTTTCGGCGGGAGGGGAGGACACTTCTAAATTAAAATTTTACTAACACAGCCAATCATTAAATCCTGACTATCATTGATTATTTTAAAACAAATAAAATATTTAAACACTGAATACTGAACAACGATTGAACGAATAAACGATTTAACCTTTCAGAAAATTGTCTAAGGATGCGACGTAGGTATGTAAGTTTTTACGCGAAGGTGCAAAGTCTATTTGAAATTTATAGGTTCGTCGCACTTTTTGAAATTCCTTGATTTTCTGTAAAACCAGTAAACGGAGAATTTTTGAACTTACCGTGAACAGTTAAAGTTGCTACTTTGCTCTCTTTGATGCCGACCATATTTTCAACGAGACACTGATATTTGCCTTCGTCGCTCTTTTTCACATCGCTGATCATTAGGTTGCCTCCGTCAACCAGCTGAATCCTGGGACACGAAAAATGAAATGCATATTTATTGTAGATAACTATGCATTGAAAAAAGTATAATCAATTATTACAGCTGATAGGCAAAAATACTCTGCGATTCGTATCGAATTATATCGGCTATCGTCCTCTAAAACTGACCAGTACGATTACTCGCTGGACAGGGTCAGAATTTAAGCACCAAAATATGTTTCCTCATCAAAATCGTGAACCGAGATGAAAAAATTTAAAATGTTCGAAACCAACCTTAGAAAATGAGAAATTAGCATCCTCGACGTCTATAAAAATGTATACAAATTACGGGACGGGTAACGTATACTCGAGTCGAGCTGCTTAACTAAAATTGGACGTATTTCTGCCAAACGGAACTATGTGCAATGTGCATGTGAGCCCTGACGTGCATATCGACGGTGAAACTACCAGACCACGTATCTCGTTTGCGGTGTTTAAAAACCTCCATTCACATTTTATTTTTTTGAAGGAGATCAAATCAATACCATTCCTTACAATTTTCAGAGATTTTTCTCCGCACAAAGAGGAAAGATCACGGAAGTTTTCATGACTTGACGTTGAGTAGTTTTCTATTTAAAAAATAAAGTATGGCAGGAAGTCTGCGACGTCGCAAACCGAGATACGTGGTTTGGTAGTTTCACCGTCGATATATTCTTATATGGTTCTCCGGGTTCATGTCCTATTGCACATAGTCCCGTTTAGCAGAAATACGTCGAATTGGAATGCTCATTCATGATCAAATGGTTTCTTTCTGTACAGATTTACGAGCATAGTGTGAGTTTCTTTTAGAAAGCATCAAGTTCAGTGCTCAGTTTTTCCAGCACCCTTGTGTTGCAAAGGGGTTTCATTTTCACAGATTCTGTAATCAAGAGATTTTTCAATGCAATCACTTTTTTTTAGCTCCAAAGAAAACCATGCAGCCGGAAGGGTGTACACTCTGCGTATTTCTCCCTCTCCTGTCACCTGAAAAACCTACAGCGGTTTAAAAGGCATCGATTTTACCAGAAAGATTAAAGATTTCTGTAAACTGTAGTTCAATTTCAAGTATAGCCGCAGGGTGGGTACAACATTAGGAGAATAGAGGAAGGAATTAAATGTTTTTATTTTCTAGTCCGTAATCAGGATCTGTTTTTATTTTCTAGTCCGTAATCACATTCCTCGTATTATTTTATACTAAGGAATGATAAACTACGTAGCACTTTCTATGTGATCTTTTAGTGAGGATTCATTTTTAATACTACGCATATGCTTACTGGAGCTTCCAATCGGTACATTTAAATAAAAATTAAGTGTATATTTCCGTACCTTTTCGTCATTCCCAAGTCTATGTACTGATCGTCTTTCTTCCATATCAGCGTTGGTTCCGGCTGACCTTTCGGAGGCCCACACTCCAATAACGCCGTTTCTCCTGTGGCCACCCTCGTGTCTTTCGGCTCCACTCGAAAATCGTCTTTCAGAACTGAAACAGAAAAAAGAAAAAAGAGCTGTTTGAGCAACCGTATAACAATGGGCTCCCTTCAAAACACTGACAAAAAAATCTCGATACATTTACTAAGAAAAGGGTAAAATTACCAAGAATTCAGGGTTCTAAATGATCCCAGTTTTTTCCTTGGTAAAATTACCATTTATGGAATTGGTAATATTACCAAGAAATCTCGGTAAAATTATTGAACTTTCTCGGTAATTTTACTGGACCTTGGTAAAAACGCCAATATTTTTTATCGACTGTGGTAGAATTACCGAAATAAAACGGCAAAGTTACCGGGAATTGATTACCAAAAAAGCGGTATTCTTACCTGAAAAAACAGTAAAAATACCGGTTTTTAGGTAAGCTTACCAGTCTCTCTAGATAAAATTACCAAAAATTGGTAAAAAAAAGTGAGATGGTAAAGGTACCAACGCACCCTGGTAAATACGCCGATAATTTTTTTTCAGTGAAGGAGTGGGATTGATGGGAACATTGAGGTCACGAGGTATTGGAGGCCTAACGAAGAACGCAAGAGTCTCGGGGCTGATAAATCCTTAGAATTCCACAAAACTGCACAAAAAAATTATATTTCGTCGGTGAGAGCGTTCGACAACGCAGGGATGTGAGGTATTCGAAAGGGAAGGACTTCCGCGCGGAAAGAATTCGATAAGGCGTAGTGCGAGACTGTTATAGATCTATAATACAATATACATCTTAGTTTACGCGTTAAGTTACAGGCATTTGCTTTCAAGTTGTATAGCTTTTTGAATGAGGGGTGCGGGCACGGAGCATTTGGGGAGGAGTGAGCAGGCCTAGGATGGATTCTCAGTCGCGGTCCCTCCGGAAAGTCAAAAGCTATTTCCTAAACTTATCTCCCGCTCAGACTTTCCCTTCGTAGGCCTGCGGTGTGTAATTTCCCGCATTTGGAGCATCCTTGCCGGCTCACACATGATATTTCCTTTTCGAGGGCGGACCATTTGACGCTTGACCTTCAAATCATGGTGTCCAGAATTTTTGACCGTAGGCTCATTCCCTGATTTTCCCTAATTTTCCCCCTAATTTTTCCTGATTTTTTGGAGCTCATTCCTTGATGAGAAACCAAAGTTTTTCTCACTTCCCCGAGATTTTCTGAGGGAAAAGAGCGTAACTCTCAAGAATTCCAGCCAGAATAATTCCCTGATGAATCCCGGGTTTTCCCATTCTAGACGCCATGCTTCAAATGCTGAGCAAGCGGATGCAAGAAAACGATGATAAAAAAAAATATTCTGTGATAAGAAGGGCAAATAGGACGTATATATGAAAAGACCTCATTCTGGCTCAGTTTAGAAACAACGTTTTTATCATTCGTTTCCCTATGCACATAAGTGTTTTTACGAATGAGCCAGAAATCGTGGTTCATTTGCGGTTTAGGTAGACTGGTCAGTGCGGCACTCGGTTTCTTTGTCGCGCCATTATCAGGTCGAAAAATCGATTGGTTTTCAACCACCGATAGAGGTCGAAAGCTTATCAATCATCCGATAGAATAAAGAAGTTAGAGCCCACCTATTAACTTCAGATTCCAGTTGGTTTGATCCGCTCCATTGATGAAGACAGTAAACGGCGGTTTAAATGTCTGAACATTACCCCTCTATTCGGTCAAAAATGGTAGTTATTTTGGCAACAGTGTCGCGGACCAGACGCATATAAAGTTACCACCCCGGATTCACGTCTTATCTCGCCACTAATTTCACCTACTATCCCTTTCCACGCCTTCTCATTCCCCTTTTTTTCGCGGTTTTAACACTCGGGGATGAACCGAACTTTTCGGGACTGGCTTTGTCCATTGAAACCCCGCGTCCCTTCGGGCCCTTTGCAAATGCGATACAAAAGAGCAACAAGAAAAGACTTCTATGCGAGTTACTTTCACAACAGACCCTTCGCAAGACAGGGAAGAAAATTGCTTAAAGAAAGGCAAAGACGATCGGAAGTTTGTTAAATTTCCAGATTTCTTGCCTAGGGTACGTTATACTGCCGTGCTGAGGAAAAACACCGTATGCACTGAAAAAAAAATTTCGGTGTATTTACTAAGAAAAGGGTAAAATTACCAAGAATTAAGGGTTCTATTTGATCCCAGTTTTTTCTTGGTAAAATTATTATTTATGGAATTGGTAATTTTACCGAGAAATCTTGGTAAAATTATTGAACTTTCTCGGTAATTTTACTGGACCTTGGTAAAAATGCCAATATTTTTTATCAACTGTCATAGAATTACCGAGATAAAATGGCAAAGTTACCGGGAATTAATTACCAATAAAAGTGGTATTCTTACCTGAAAAAAACAGTAAAAATACCGGTTTTTAGGTAAGCTTACCAGCCTGTCTCGGTAAAATTACCAATAATTGGTCAAAAAAGTGAGATGGTAAAGGTACCAACGGACCTTCGTAAAAACACCGAGAATTTTTTTTCAGTGTGAGCCTCCAGACTTTGTGAAATCTCATTCAATAAAAACTAAATTTACTCGAAAAATTGTGAATATTTTTCTACAAAAATTTCAGCAAATAGTGTTTGCGATTTAATTTATAATGTCTGAAAATTTCAAGGAAAAATAGGCCTTAATTTCCTTAAAAATGTAGGTTTCATCCGGGAAAATTTGGCTACTCTCGGATATTTATACGGCGTCTTCTTTAGCACGGCAGTATTGAGGTTCACACTTGCTAAGAAAGCGCGGATACCAGTGGTGAGGCGTGAATAATCGATCTATGTGCATTAAGACATGAGCCCTGAGACCCATAAGCACACATGCATAACAGGGCTCACGTCATAATGCACATAGTTCCGTTTGAAAGAAATACGTCCGATCATTAAGGTGTTCCTTGCGAACACCCTGTTTATCGACCCTATTCCATATGTTTAAATGGCAGATCGATCGATGTATCGCAAAGCACGCCACGCCACTAGCGGGTAGCTCGGGAGAGGAAAACGAGCCGTGTTCATTCTGTTCTGAATATTTTCTTATAAAATGATGAATATCACGGTAAAAGTGTGGGGATCATTCCCGGAAAGAGAAAAAAAAGCATGACTGAAAAGGTAATTACGGATATAAATGAGAACCACCGTCACATCGAGACAGGCGAAAGCCAAGGAAATGGAAATGGTGTTCGATTGGGGGCGGAAAACGCAAGGAGAGGCAAAACAAGGATGTCTAGAAGTGTAAGGAAAATGAGCCGGGTGCAAAAATGAAATGGACGTATTTCTGTCAAACGGAACTATGTGCATTTATACATGAGACCTGAGACCCATAAGAAAACACGCATAACTGGGCTCACGTCATAATGCACGTAGTTCCGTTCGGCAGAAATACGTCCAAATGCAAAAGAGGTCGTTGTAGATTGGCTCATAAGAATGAAGTAGGAACACGCCATCAATTTTGTCACTCCTCCTCGGCGCGCGGCAAGAAAAAAATCCCTTCATAAACTTCTGATGTTGACACTCTGTATTTATGAGATCTCAAATCATTAATTTTCAGCACTTCCGCAGTGCAGAGCCCCGTTTAGAACTTACGGGGAGAGAAGGAGAAAATGAGGAAAAAACCGGGGGGCTAATAATTGCCTCACACGAACACGAAAACGAGTCGTTCGCTCGAATAAAAGGGACCAGAACTTATCAAGGATGGTAAGACGTGAATCGGAAAAAGACTATCGACACACAATGGATCGTGTCAATAGAATATCTTTAAACGCTTACAGCACAACGCTTACACAAAATTTTGAGATTCTAAAAGTGGTTCCATTAGTTTTCCCATGAAATTTTCTTTTGTAAGGATCCCATCAAATTTAAAATGAGACGAAATAAACATCAAAACGTTAATTTTTTCATGTTCATGCATTGATGCAAGATGAACATAAAAGCGCAATATACTGACAGACACGTACTTTTTTTCTTCGATTATAACCCCTTGATTGATTGTGAGGTTATGTGTGAGTAGACGGATCAAAAGCACTCACCTAACGGGTCAGAGACAACAGTTTTTTATGCTAAAAGAAGCTAAGTTGCATGCAAACCCTATGCACCTAGTTCCTTTTAGCATAAATACGTTCAGTTGTTGGCTCACGTCGAGTGCCTGACTGAACGGTTGAGGAAGCTAAGCGTAGGGTCAAAATGATCGAGTGGATTAAACATAAACATCCATGATGATCGCTACAGTGTTAAGAAATAAAGTCGTATGAACATTTGAACATTGCCAAATTTCCACCAGTAAACTACGAATTTTATGGAAAACTCACCATTATAAATCCTCAAAATGTTCAGAGAATTTTTTTGCGGGTGTAGTGCATGAAATAAAATCAATGGAATACATTCAAATTATTTTAAAACATTTGTACACAGGGAAAAGCAAAATTTCTATGCTCGCACGACGCACAGTGGATCGAGTCAATGGGAGGGGCCGGACAAAATTTGGAAACTTTAAACGCTTAACTCCGTTCATACAAAACTTTGAGGTTCTAATAGTGGTTCCATTGGTTTTTTCGTGAGATTTTCTTTTGCAAGCACCCCTTGAAGTTTGAAATATGACGAAATAAACATCGAAATTGGAAATTTAAGTAAAAAATTCCATGTCCGACCCCTCTAATGGACACGACCCACTGTTCGGCGTTTTCCCAGCACGGCAGATTACAGCTCCATCAATTAAAAGCGTCACGCATCTCCGGCACACGCTGGAATTAGTTTTTACAGGAGTCCCTCGCCAACGCAGGGATTAGCGTCCCCTCTGACCGGCGCCGAGGTTAAAAAGAGTCGCGGCGAGGAGCAGACAGCCCGCGGTAAAAAGCGCGAACGTCAAGTACGCCTCGACTCGAATTCGGCAACAATATACTGCCGTGCTACGGAAAAACGCCGTGTGAGCCTTCAAACGTTGCCAAATTTCCTTCGATAAAAACTGAATTTTCCCGGAAAATTCTGAATATTTTTCCTCCAATTTTTTAGACAATTTTGTTCGCAATTTAATTTAATAT